TATGCTGAAATAATTTTAAGCGCGGGCAAACATCGCTTTTATTGGTTGTTCGGTTCCGATTAAGCTTACAAATGACGTTTCATTTTCACATGACCTGACTATTTAAACAATGCTGTTGTTTTACCGGTCATAATATTTAACTAACGACAAAGAGGTAAATTAAATCGGGACACGTGTCGCGATTCACGACGTCTTGCTACTTTCAATATACATATTGCAACTCCTGATGTACCATGTGCATCAGTGTATGCATCGCAGATAATGTTATTTTTATAAATATAAATACAATTACGTGGATTGATTTGAAAATTGTCTAATTTTCTTATAAAGTAAAAATATATAAAAAATTTTTAAAAATTGTTTAAAAATAAAAAACTTTTTAAACAACTCACATATCAAGATATCAATATGATAGTTTTGCATTTTAAATATTGAATTTTAAATGTATAGAATGCCCTTGTTCACGCTTATTTGCATTTTTTACATTTAAGGATTCTTTGACCAAGTTAAAGTTTCTGATAGCGTAATAATCTAATTAAATCGTCTTTTTTAGCATTGTTCAATACTTAATTTCTAATAGTTTGTACCTAATATGCAAATTAAAGATCTATTAAAATAAAGTCTATAATGTTCAATAAAAGATAAGTTTTATATATGTTTGCTTTTTTCTCTTTGAAATTTAATTTATTAAAATCCATAAACTTTTAATCTTCAATTAATTTATTATTGAATATACCTAATGTCAAGCATCATGAATACAAATGAGAACTGATTTTTATCATTCTTATTAATATATAGAAAGCTGATTTTTTTCGCAAATGTTTGCGATACTTCTTTTTATTTAGTTTCTTTTCTTTTTGTATTTGAAGAATCAGCAAATTAAAACTTAAAATGTCTTAGTATCTTTAAACCGAAAATCAGGAATCTTATAATTGCTTTATTGCAACTTGCCCATATGCATTTATCCTGAAAAGAGTTGAAACTTATTTCATGAAGTTGAATAGAGAGTTTAATTAGAAACTGTATATTTGAAAGTGCCTTGAGAGTAATTAAAAGTCTTAACGAATGCCTACTATCGGAAACATAATTTGAATTAGATACATCTCGATTCAGCTTCCGAATAAACTCGAAATAATTGCAAACCATAATTATCCTCTATGTTCATATAGAAAATAATATTAAGATGAAGTTTTATATATATGTATAGCTGTAAAATATGCTCATGTTTTTATTACGCGAAGTGTCATTAAAATATAAATTAGAGTATCTACTTTTCATCAAAAATTTATATTTCTATAAAGTTTTCTATAAAATATAAGTTTTCTATCAAATGAAAAAAATTTTCATGAAAAAGAATCTGCTATATGTTTATTAAAAAAATTGTTATAATGAAACTCATTATAATAATCATTATAATGATCATTATAATTATTATAATGAAACTCAAGATTTTTTCAAGAGGAAAAGAGAGAATTCTGCATCTTTATTAAAATATAATTTTACAAATATGCGATCTTAATGATATATATTAATATAAAAATAAAATAAAAATAAGATAAAAAATTCTATAAAAATAGAATATCGATGCTTTAAACCTTTATGCAATTTACATATATATATATATATATATATATATATATATATATAATAATTATTATTAATTTATAATTTGTAGTTTTTATATATATAATATTGTTATAATTTTTTTAAATACATACAAATCTTGAAAATATAATTTGCATAATAAGAACAAAAGGATATATATAGAATTATGAGAATATACTACATAATGAGATATATAATGAAGCTGAAAAAAATGTAAAACATTATAAAAATGTAAAAAAATTCTCAAGAGATTTAAAATTTGCAATATAAAAAAATCACAATACATTTTAAACCCGTGACCTGTATACAAAATTAAAAATATATTTTTCTCTCCCTTCCGCGTATAATATCTATAATTTTATTAAAATTACATTATAATAATTACGTATTGTTTCATTCTTTCTTTCTGGAGAAAATGTAGGATTCGTAAAAAGATCGTAACGATGATTTGAATACAATTTAAACGGAATTTTTACTCAACTTTTTAATAATCAATACTTACAAATAAGTCTTTATAAATTCATGTATATGAATTATTTATATAATTTATATACATGAATTTATGAAAATTATAATTATAATTTTATCTATTTCCTATATATATATATATATATATATATATATATATATATATATAACTTTCACAAAATTGAAAAATCACAAGATTAAAGAAATTAGATTAAAAAATTTTGAAATTCATTTTTATGTATTTTATTATAAATTACTTACGTTAAGATGTAGTTCCAGATGTTTCCAAATATCTTCAGATGTAGTATTCCTTACTTCCTCTTAAATAGTTAAATTCTTCCCATAGATAAGTAAGTCAGTTCATATCTGAAAATAAAATATTTGATTTGTTATAATATATTTCTAATAAAATATTAAATTTGTTCTAATATCAAAATATTAGAATATTAAAAATATCCCTCTTGCATTCCAAATATTAAAATATTTTTTCCATTCACGATCATACAAATCGATTTTTCATTTAAATAAATTTCGTTTTAACAAAACAAGGATAAGATTTATTTAACATTACCAAAGTTGTAAAGAGACATACAATCTATTCTCTTTCTCACTCTCTCTTTTTCTTTCTCTCCTCTCTTTCGTCCAATTTCAAATTTTAATTTATCACAAGAGTTTCAACTAGAGATTGGAACATATTCTAAATTATACATAATTATAAATAATATTTACGATTTAATGGACAACCTGACACATTGGACTTAATTTGTAAGTAATTTATAAATAATAATAATAACATTTAGTCAAATGAAGTAAATGTTGACATTGACTTTATACGTAAATGCACATGGGTATTGCATATTAGCCCTTACTCTAATTGCAGCAATCCATTACATCAAGCCATATAAAGAATGCAGGTAAACGAAATGCATCTGCTTAAACTCATCGTAATTCATTCCGATGAATTGCCGCAGGCAATGCAGAAAAAAACCGTTAAAAAATAAAAAGAGCGTCCATATATATACATATACCTGTTTTCTATTATTTATAAGCGTTCGTATGCTACTATCGAAATAATTCATCATTTATAGTCAGGGATTTGTAAATCCCTTTACAATTTGAAAAATTGTATATATATATTCTATACTGTCTATATTGCATACATTCTATGCAATATGCAGAATCCATCATTGCATTTTATTACACATATGAATTCCAACATAGACGCAGAAACTAAAATAATAAAAAAAGCAATCACTTTAATCTCAATCCGTTGACAACTGCAGAGAGTTATGTACTTATAATAAAAAATTAAATTTTAGAAACCCAGACTAATAATGTTGTGGATAATTTAAAAACGTAAAAGTTTTAAGACATAAAATGTAACGAGATTATTAAGATACAAATGTTATTTATAAATTAATTTTTTAATTAATTTTAAATTAATTTTAAATTAAACTTTTGATTTGGAAAATTATTTAATTTTTAAAAGGCTTGATCATCAAAATGTCTAATCTATACTAATAATAGTACGCAATTTATCTCGTAATTTATTTTTTTTCTTCTTTTCGTAAAAAAAATATTTTCATTTTTTTATTATTTTAAATTATATAATCGCAAACCATTATTTATCATATTTTTAAAAATATATGGAAACGATTAAATAATTTTATTTAAAAAATACGTGAAATTTTTAAATTAAATTCTTATTTCTTTTCTAAAAAATTCGATAATTTATAATTATTCTCTCTTTCTCTTTCCCATGCTTCAAACTCAACGCACTTTTATAATCCAAATAATCTATGATTGATGAATAATCTATGATTTTTTGAAAATTATCCAGAAATCAGTGAATTTGAATGCCAATGTCTTATGATGCAATAAAAAACTGTTGCAAAATTCATATTACACACATCGCATACATCTAATTATTCATATTTAAAATACTTTTTTTTCCATCACGTTATATCTCTATCATATTTTTTTTTTGAAAAAATCTTTTTTACAATAATATTTCATAGAATTTCCAGTTTTTATGTCATATATGAATATAAATTTCACTGTTACATATAGGATAAAGAATAAATAAATATCGCAAATAAATTTCTCTTATCGATCGTACATACTATCCATCATATCCGCAAAAGTCGGTTTACTCATGACATGATTATGAAAAGGCTCGAGACAAATAAATGCGCCAAATATATTATAGAAAATTGTCTCACGAGATATAATTCCATGATTTAGAGGGAAAACATTTATAATAATAAAATCTTGCAAAAAATGATATTCCTCTCTCATAAAGTTTTTTGAAAGAAGAATATGTAAGGAAAATAATATTTAATAGAAAGATTTATAAAGATATGTAAAAATATAATCATATAACAATATCAATATTCATAAAAAATATATTTAAAGCAGATAATAAAAAAATATGTATTGCGATAAATTTATCTTATTAAAAATATTATTTAAAATATCGAAAACATACAATATTGATAATATTAGAATTTGATTTCAGATATTAGTCTTGTATTTGCTGAAAAATTTCTATATTTTTCTTTTTTCGATAAAACAATAAAATATCTGATGAAATTATATAAAAAAAATATGTTAAATAATAAATTATTGAATTAATAAAATCTATAGTATTAAAAGTTTTATATACTAAACATTTTTAACTCGAAATGTTTCAATAAAAATATCAAAAACAGAATATAATTTGTCAGAAATAATAAAATTCTACAAAAATATATAAATTTAATAATAAAAGTATCTTAAATTTGCACTATATTTACGATTATCGGCAAACTAGCGCACGTGGATTTGTGACAGATTCATATACCATTCAAAGGTAATAGTAAGAATAATAGATCTTATATAAATGTAAACATACACACATTTACACATATACACACGTATTTCATGGCAGAATGTAGAATTTAGCCTTGGCGGCTTTAGCTTTCACTACGTATTATTGGTTGATCCTGGGTGATCCTTGGAAAGCATGTGCGCACATGTGCGGCAAGTGTTTTCACATTGTGTTTATATAAATTATTTTACCTAAATATAAATTACGACATATTGCGTAAAATTATTAATCTTCATTTATTGGCATTACGAGAAAAATATATTTCAGAAATAAGAAAATCCATTAAGAGGTAAAGTATAATAATAAAGATGAACAATAACGATAAACAAAGAGAACAAAGAGAACAAAAACTATATGTATTTTCCAGAATAACAATATGAATGATTCAGACGATGATAGTTCCGACAGCAGCAATGATTTCACTGGTATTACACCAAAGGATGAGCTAACAGCGAGTTTCTTTTCAATAAAGCCGGCGATAAAGTCTAACTTAGTGAACTCGAAAAGCAACAGCGAAAATGACAGTAGCGATGATGACAATTTCACAATTGTTGAAAATGGTATCGACTTGTTCTCAGAAGTGGTCAAAAATCTGGAAGCCTCGCAAAGAACTCTTGTGAATGATGAGAAGACGCAACAACACTGTTCCAAAGACAAGTCACAAGATATTAAAAAAATTAAACTTGAAAAAAGGAATAATAATATAGCGGATGAAATAAATGCAGTTTTACTTCAAGGAGAAAATAAAACATGTATGTTTCATGATGATGAAAGCACAAATGAAGAGGAGAAAAACGAGGAAGAGGATGTTAAACGTCCTGACGATTATACTATACCTAAGGAAGGTGTTAAAATAACTTTGCCAGGTACAAGTATGCTTTTCAAGAGGAAAACAGGCAGTAAGAAGGAGACAAATTTAACTGCTCTTTTACGAAGGAAGATAAAGGCCAATCAAATAATAATAGAGAAAGCAGCTCGACTTTGTTGGTTGGCATATGGATTCTATCTAAATCATCAAGCAAATGATCCTGAAATAATGGCAGTAACAATATCTCTTATATCAACAGATAATTATCCAAAGGATAGTTTTAATTTAACATATCTATCAAAGTTAACAAAATGGTTTAGGAATATGTTTACGATAGAATCTAGTGACAATGAAGTCACTATAAATAAGGAAACATTATTAAAAAGAATAGCAGACAAGAAGATTTTCAATTATAGAGAATTGGTAATACTATATGTAGCAATACTGAGAGGAATTGGATTACATTGTCGTCTAATAGTATCTCTCAATCCACCTCTTGTAACAGTTCATAATGATTTATTACCTAAAACAAATGCAGTACAAAAAATTAATAAAATTAAAGAAGAACCAAAAGGAATGAAAAAGAAGACAGAATTCTCTGAAAAAAATAAAAATTCAAAAGGAAAAGATATCAAAAATAATAATATAGTTCAAAATAGTGAAAGTGCACGAAAAGATGCTAATGTAGAAGCAAAGAAAAGAGCAGCAGAGATTCTTCGCTCAAAGTATTCATATACTAAAAAAAACAAAAATACTTTAAATAACAATATAACCCCTCAAGATAATGCTTCTACATCAAAGGATGTTAAAGCAGATTCTTTAAATTCAGAAAAGATAAATACTGATCCATCTCCAAGACGTTTAAGATCTAGTAAAGCATGTAATAATAATGCTGCATCTACAATAACTAAACAGCAAAGCAATACACAGACTTCAGAAAATAATCAATCTAAAACAAAAGGTTCTAAAAGACTATCATTCAGTCCTGACTTGAGTTCAGAAGAAGATGAAAAACCACCCAGTAAGTTGAAGAAAAAATGCAATAAAACAGTTATTAAATCTAAACATAAGGATGAAAAGGATGATTCAATGTCAGATAATGAGGAAATTGATAATGATAATAAATTAAAAAAGAGAGAAAATGTATGGGTTGAAGTATATGTGGAATCCAAAAAAAGCTGGATAAGTATAAATGTAATGGATGGAAATGTGGATTGTGTGGCTGACATATATGTAAGTAACAAAACCTGGTTATTTAATTCTGATTCTTGTAATGTTTAATTGTTGTATAATAACAAGATAGTTATATTGTATATGAACATATATTTAATAATAATTTTGTAATAATGTTTCAGAAAAAAGCGAGCAAACCAGTACTATATGTGATAGCTTATAATTCAGAAGGATTAATAAAAGATGTCACAAGACGCTATTGTCCACAATGGCTTTCTGTTACTCGTAAACAACGTATTGATGAAAAATGGTGGACTGAGACTTTAAGTAATTGGCTAGAAAGAAAGACAGACATGTCTAAAGAGGAAGATGAATTACTTTTGCAAAAGTAATTATTTTCTTTTTTTATTATATATGTTTTATATATATATATATATATATATATATATATGTATGTATGTATGTATCAGATTTTATCATAATTAATCAGACATAACTGTAATGCCATATGAATAATATCAAGAGATAATAATGAAAACATAATTGTTTTTATAGAGAGTTAGAACAACCATTGCCTAAAACAGTTGGCGAATGCAAAGGACACCCTTTATATGTGCTCATCAGACATTTACTCAAATATGAAGCCTTATATCCGCCAGATTGTGTTCCACTTGGACATTTGAAAACAGGCGAAGCTATTTATTCAAGATATTGTGTGCACACGTTATGTTCGCGAGAAACATGGTTAAAGAAAGCTCGAGTAGTTAAACCGAAGCAAGAACCTTACAAGATAGTTAAGGCACTTCCAAAATATGATAAGGTAAAGTCACACTAATAAATTTTCACAAAATCAAAAAATTTTGTTTTATAAAAATTATTTGTTTAGAAGATGTAATAAAAGAATTTATATAGCTTTCAGGCATGAGGCTTAAAGATTCAGCATTAGAATTATTTGGAGAATGGCAAACTACAGAATATGAACCACCAGAAGCTAAAAATGGTATTGTTCCTCGTAATGAGTTTGGAAATGTAGATTTGTTTAAAAAATGTATGCTTCCAAAAGGCACAGTGCACATAAACCGTAAGCACAATATATCTTTTCTATTATTACAATATGGAAATACCTTTCTCTAAAATTTTTAGTAATTAATTTATTTCTACATAATTTTATTAATTCTAAATTAAATGAAGAGCATCGTTATAAATATTTAGCTGATATTACTCTTTTTTTTTATATAATTTTAGAAAATTAGGAAAATATTGGAAAAATGTTTATTTTGTTACAAAGTCAAGAGATAGAATTCTAATATTGTTATAGCATTATGTAACAAATGAATCTTTATAGTTCCAGGATTAAATCGCATTGCCCGTAAGCTGAACATAGATTGTGCAGCCGCAGTAGTCGGTTTTAATTTCGGCTGCAGAGGTGCCGTGCCAGCCACTGAAGGCTTTGTTGTATGTGCCGAATACGAAGATACATTACGAGAAGCTTGGGAAGCAGAACAGGTTGAGGCGACTAAACGCGCTTTCGAGAAAAGGGAAAAGAGGATTTACGGCAATTGGAAGAAACTCATTAAAGGTTTACTTATCAAGGAGAAACTATCGCAAAAATACGAGTTCCAAGAAGAATCGAAAACCGATCAGTCGAATAAACGTCTGAAGCAACGAAAAAGCGCCGTAAAAAAATTTAAAGCATAATAGAATGTGTATATATTATTTTTTATATGTTAATTGAAACATTCTTGTCTTGGATGGTATCATTATATTAAATATTAATAGATTCGATAATTATTATTAAAATAAATTTTTCATCAGTATTATATACAATACTATTTTCTATAATAAACCAGATAAGTAATAATAATTTTTTGTTTTCAAATGATAGGTTGTGAATAATTTTTTTAAATTAAATTCTTTTTGTAATATAATGTTTTTCTTTTCTTAACTTCTTCGTTGTAAATTCGATGAAAAATATTAATAACTTAATATCTACTATATTTGTATAAAAAATGATAAACTTATAAAAACATTGAATATTTGAAATTTTCAATTGTGTATATATATATATATATATATATATATATATATATATATAATATATTTTAATTAAAGTTATTCTCTCTCTATATATATAATAATAAAATAAAATTTTTCTTTATATATATATATATATATATATATATATATATATATATGAAAAAAATTTTATTTTATTATTATATAGAGAGAAAGGATAATTTATATTAAAAATATTATATATTATATAAAAATATATTTGTAATATTATATATCTTATATTATTTTTATCGTTATTTAATTTTACATGTTAAATATAAAAAATTACGTAATTCATATAGAGTATAGACACCGTATATGCGCGCGCACATACATGTATACATATATAAAGTTATAAATTTTCCTGCCTAACAATGAAATCACTTTTTTGCAATTATGCATATATTCTATTTTTCATTATTTAAGTTTAATTAATATTGCTCGAATATTTTATATTTTATATCGTTTTCAAGTTTTTTCGAGAAAGAACCATGTGATTTTATAAAAACGATGTGAAAGTATAATATATATATATATATATATATATATATATATATATATATATATATATATATATGAATTTAAGGCCAGATGTTGCATTAATATTATTTTAGATTTAAGCAAGATTTAAATATGTCTATCTTTATCTTTTTTTTCTAAATAAATAAATATAAAATACAGTTTAAGTCTTGCTTAAAGCTAAAATAACGTATTTATGGAATCGGGCCTAAGTTCACTGAGCCCAGTCATAGCGCGAAATGAATTTTTAATAATATTTTCTTTCACACAATGATTTCTCAACAATTTACATTGCACACTTTAGTATTAATAATAAATAATCTTATTGTAGAGAAATTACCTGAAATTTCGAGTTCTAGTCAGCCTTATAATCAATTCAAAACTCGTCGCGATAACACAATCACAATTTGCAAACGCGGAAACGATAAACTATAATATGGCGCCCTCTGGTCGCAATAAAAGGAACAATTCATAAAGGTTGTCGCACACGAAATTGCATATGCATAACATAATGGACCAATGAGCATCGAATATTATGTTATGTAAGTCAATATGGCGACTTAATGCTCAATGCTCATTGGTCCATACGACCTTATGCTACTATGCATATGTAGATATGCAATTTCGTGAAATGGCCTTTATGAATTGTTCGCGGACTAGAGGGCACCATATTCAAATTTTTAAATTCAAACCAGTTGTTGGCCTGAATATACTGATCACTCCCAGATCAGAGGTGGCCATTAAAATCCAAAGAAGAAAAAGAAGAAATTTTTAAATAATTTTTCTCATAATAGCAAGGTGACGCATCTAAAGATGCTTAGTGACATACTATAACATCATTATTAAGATATTATTCTGTTACCTAAATAGATATTAGAAACAAAGTATTTGCGTCTAAATATTATCTTTCAAATTTTCGTTAAATTATCAATGCATTTAATAATCGTCAAGAATAGATAACCCCTACGAATAGTTCGTTTCAATGACAAAACAATTTGCAAAGGTAAAAGAATACTATATTCCATAAATTTTTAAAATAATTATCTAACATGAAACATATTGAAAAATAGAATATTACATAAATCTTGCTTTCTTTTGAATATACTTAATAAACTATTAATAGTTTGTTTTGCTTGCAAAAAAATTAATTTGTGCAAAATTTTTATATATGTTATATCAATTCATTTAAAATTTGTTAATTTTAATTTACGATTATAACTTAAAAATTGTATAAATGTTTATGCAAGAAAATAATTGAGCTATTAATTGTTTCTGTTAAAATATATATATATATATATATATATATATATATATATAACAATACACACACTCACACACTTTCTTAATATAAAATATTAATTAAATACAAATTTGTTTTACAGAATAATTATTGTTGAATATCGATGGATTTATTATTTAATTTATTATTTATAAGCTCTGCTATCTGTCATAAAGTTTATTTGTGCTTGTTTTTCAAACAGATAATCTGTTCAAAATTACACGGTTCAACTTAGGAGAAACATGTCCGTTTATGTAATAGAGTTGCGGGGAAGACAGAGAGTTGAGTATAATCTATGTAACATTTGATGGAAGTATGCCAAAGACAATGTTCTCGAGAAATTGGAGTATTACTACTAGATATATATGAACTAAGGCCTAAGTGGAGCGTCTATTAGTTCGGATCACGAAAACCATCCTAATTCAGCTTGGAATTAGATTCCTCCTTTGTAATAAGACCATTCTGTACAGTAGAAATATGCGATATTATCTGAGCATTGTCTTGATCCTGAATCTCAATATTAAAGCATAATCAAAAATATTAATAAAAAAATAGCACTTTTATTAATATTGTATTCCAGTCAGCACAAAAGTTTGCATAGAATGAAGGGATTATTTATAAGGTAAAAAGTTTCCTTGACATAAATTAAGCTTGTGCTTCAGTTTATAAAAGATAAGTCTTTCTTGTACCTTAGACAGGTAGAAATATTTTAGATAAGTCTTTCTTGTACCTTAGACAGATAGAAATATTTTACATAAATTGCACTTAATGCAATTTTATTTCAAAAAGATAGAATTTTAAAAATTATATATATTAGCTAAATATAATATAATATAATTTATATAGAAATGTTTTCTTCTACAATATATTTCTAAATAATTTAATTTATTTTATTTTATAATATTTATCTAAAAAAAGAATATATATAGCTTACATAATAAAAATATATAAATAAGCTTTAATAATTTAAAAATAAAAGGAGTATACAACCAAATTTGTTAAGAAATATATATAATCAAATATATATACTAGTAATTTTATTGTATAATTTTGTTTATATAAATTTTCTTCTTAAATTATACATATAAAAAGATTTAAAGAAGATAGACTCACAAATATTTTTCACTCACAATCAGTGCAGAGAAATGCATTGAAAAGCAAAAGAAAAAATTGAGTACAGTGGCAAATGTGATTTGTAATAACAATTCTACATTTCATTGAATTGAAAAGCGAGCAAATATTTTTGTTTAAAAATTTATAAAGATAGAAGAGAGTAAATTGTTAATGAATTGCAACAATTCCTTAGTAAATATTAAACATAACAGATATTAACAAAACTTTAAATTTAAACAGTTCGGTATTTTAAAATAAAGATAATTTTTATATTACTCTTTAAATTTTTAATTTTTCCACTATTTTTTATATTATATTTAAAAATTTTAAGAGATAATATAAGAAATAATAGACGATTTTAAAAAATTCCTAAAAAATTGCGTGAAAATGAGCTTCTTAAAATCAAAGTTATGTTAATTTTTAAAACAATCTTGCTATGTACCTGATAATAAATATATATCATAATATATACATTTCATATAATTGGCATTTCTCTATTCTATGTAATTAAATAATAACATTTACATATTATATAGTTTTAGACATATTAGATCTTAAACTTTGCATGATATAAACATAATACAAAAGAATGCATGTTCTCTTTCTGATAGAAATTTTCCATTTTCCGGGACGTGCGCATCCAGGATCGATCATCTGCGCACGAGAAATATATAATCTCTGTCTCGCTTGGTGTAACCCGTGCAGAGTTGATCGATCATTAAGCTCACCTCTCGTTCGTTTCGCTGCACTCATACACGTGTGCATGCATTGCACCGCTCCTGGTACTACGCCACACGATTTTAGCCGTCCGATTTCATATTTGCGTCAGTCGACGTGTGGGTGTTACATACATACATACACATAAGTATCTTGGTGGTACATCTTCCTTGAAATGCATCTATTTCAAAACGCGAACTTGAACTTAGACTCGTTCGCGGACTTGCGAAGGATGATCAGGAAATTGGCAATTAAAGATACGATAAATTCGGAGAGCGATAAAGTTAAAACGTAAAAGCGGTGGAGAAATCAATTTTAACGATTCTTCGACTTCCTTGTTATCCTCGTATTAAAATTCAATCGATCGAATCACTTAATTAAATTCTTTAATCAAACGAAGTCAAAAGATGATCCGACCGAAAGCTCTTAGCTTTTAGTGCGATATTCTCCGCATAAACTTTTATTTAGGAAAATATTATTATATAATCAGATTTTTAGATCTCTTGAATTAAAAATATTACATAAATGTGACATAATCACAAAGATAAAGTAATTATAAAGATATTGCACATTTATCATTATAAACAGATTTTGCATATACAGCTTACTAGTTGCATTCAATTTTAAAGTATTAATATTAAATTTATTTTTTACTATTGATAATTGTTTTGGATTTTTAAAGCAAAATTTAAATAAAAATAATTATTTTTTTTATTGAATATTTTATATATCTTATAAAAATAATATTTATTAAGCATCTTCTAAATCTTTGACAAACATGTTTATGTACATATATATATTATGTAATATAAATAATTAATCATATAATAGGAACTTCCGCGGAAGAATTATAAACACATTATACATGCGTCTATCGTATATGGAGCGAAAGAATCATGCAAGGAAATGCACATACGATTCGGGTCAGTTATAAGCAATTTTTCGCAATGGTAAAAGTAACTGTAAGTAGTTGTTTCTAATTGAACGGATTACAATTTTTCTTTGTAGGTGAAAAAATTGCAACAAAAAATTGGTATATTTAAAATGTAAATTGGCAATATTTTGGATTTCATTGAATGTTAAAATATTAATGTTAAATGCACTGAGTTTTATCTTTTAATAATATTTTTACTGTCTTTCATATATTAAATTAATACAAATTATATTTTAAATAATTTATTACAACAAAAATGATAATGAAATAATAAACAATAAAAATCAAACAATTAAATAATTTATTTAGTGATTAAGTATTTTATTTCACGTTTATATAATATTACAAAAAATAGCAAAGGGATTCATAGAATTTAATCGAGCAATCGAATTCTCTTTTCATCTTAGCTCATAAAAATGTAAATCCTATAAAAATGTAACTCCAATTTCTTTTTACATCACAATATTTCGATAAATTTTATTAGTGTATAAAAGAATACGAAAAGAATACTGAATGTTATACGCTAAGTTATATTTTTTCGCAATTTGATTAAAGCTGTTTCTGCTGCAATTTCATTTCCGATTGTCTATAAAGTAAGTACGAGAACAGCACGAAACGCATGCAAAGATGCGCAGCTCTGATAAATCCATAAGATAAGACAATCCATACATCCATGCCGAATACAGTAGTTCAGGTATAAAATAGGTATTACGCAGGTATAAAAGCACGATTCGAGTACATCGAGGCTGTCAGTACACGTGTAACAATTAGACGAACAATTTCCTTTAACCGCGATAAGGCATCCATCACAATCTATCAAATAAGATTTTTAGCATATATACAGATATAACGATTTACATTTGACATTTAAAAAATTCAGAGATTTAAAAATTGTATTTATACTAAAATTAATTTAATTGTATTTAGCTTATTTTTTTCACAAAATTCAAACAAAAAAAATTAAACTTGATAACTAATTAATATTTATAAATTATTTTAAAAAATCTTCTCTCTCGATTTATACAATATCAACATTTTAAAATTATAAGTGAAAAAAATATCGAGTGACTATGGACCAGAAATCAATCTATAAGCTGCTCTCAAAAAGCTTACAGAAATATATTGGATTATAATGAGAAATTTTTAGCAATGATTAGTGAATACGACAAGATAAAAAGTATAATAATTTATCAACAAAAATTAAATTGTTTGTGTGTTCTTTATACTCTTTTTAAGCCACCCTGTGTAAGGTGATTCGCTCGGTGTGCTACGTCAGTTCGGGGGTGTTAGTTAGGGTTATTATTTCTAGCCGCACGTCTGACGGCAGTCTGTCAGTTATCGCAAGTCAATGAAAGTACAAACAACACTGTATTCTTCGTAAACATTTGTAATATTTGACACGAATCGTTAAATATTCGGAATTTAAGCTAATATAAACGTATGTAAGTGTTTAATGTAAATTATATAACATCAATATCATTGTGATTTTAATATTTTATTTTGTAAAATATATAAATTATTATTTGAAAGAAAAATTTTATTTTGAAAAATTGTGTATTTATAAACTATATATATAGTATATATATATATATATATATATATATATATATTTATTTATTTATTTATTTATTTGTTTATTTATTTACCAACGCATTTAAAATTAAAAAAGTAGAGCATCAAATGAATTAAACTATTTTAATTAAAATATTTAAAATTATTGCAGTCGAGAGATAATGTTTTTTAGAATAATTATATATAATTAAATAATTATATGAATATCAATTATAAAAAAATAGAAAAATTTCGATTTTTTAACATATTAAAATTTTTTAACATATTTATAATATTTTTCTTATTTATAATATTTTTCTTATTAGCTATAAAATAATAAATTCATATAATAAAAGAACAGTTTCAATAAAGAGTTTTTGAAAGATCTATTATAGTTCTTCAACTACAGACATATTTAAATCATCTGCATCTTGAAGATTACGGAGTTTCGCGTTTGAATTGTCATGTAGAGATATTATAAAGATTGACATTTATTGTTAAAGAATTATCCAGAGAAATTGTGAACGCACTTTTCTTGCATTCTATCACTCAATGGACAAAATGCGAAAATGTGAGAGTATATACTGCAGCGAGCAACTCGACACGTTTTTGTGGAAGTCATACCTATTGAAGAACAATCACTTGGTGGAAACGAATTACGTTTTATGGACTGTGGAGCTGCGTCAGGCTATGGATCATAAATCTTATGTATGAAAAAGAATATTGTATAAATATTTTCCGACCTGAAGGAAAGTTTTAGCAAACTCAATGCATTATTATTGTTGACATAAGACAAGATACAATAATGTCCATTAATAGCGATCTGTTCGCGTACATTTATTGATGATTTGTAAAACGGTGACCTGCAATACGTAGGCTTAAATATAAATTTTATATAAGAATACGAAATTATTAAAGTAAATTAAATTAAAGCGCTATATACAATCGAGAAATGACAGAATCCGCGTCCGACGTACCAGAAGAAAATGAAGCTGCGAACACGACACCCATCAGCGAGAAGCGACATTGTAAGGAAATGCGCAAGGACAAGTTACCTCCTTATCTTCGAGATAAAGGTATGTTATATTATTTCTAAATTTTAGGAAATAAAATATGTAAACCAAAAAACCAATTTTCGATTTATTATATATTATAGTTATCAATTTTATAAGAAAACCGCTACAGTTATATTTTAAATATAATATATTAAATATAATATATTAAAGAGAATATATGTATAAAATTAAACAAAACAAGGATAGATAGATAAAGAACCAATAATTTAAATAATAATTTTAATAAATAGTTTATATATAGCTAAAAGTATTGAAAAAATATTGAATAAATAGTAAAATCTAAAAGTATTGAAAAATTGGAAAGTGAAACATTTTTGTTCTATTTTTCTTTATATATATTGCATTATAAATATTTTAAAATATTAGGTAAATGTCATTATGTTCTACATCAATAATTTCATACAAAAATATATTAGTATTGCAATATTCAAGTAAATTTAGAAAAAATAATCAATTGTAAAAAAAACAGCGCAGAAGAATATTAATTATTTTCATTAACACTTTAATTAATTATTAGTAGAATTATTAATAGAATATTAATTATTTTCATTAATACTTTTTTATTCACATTTTGCTGTAAAAGCTTTTAATCAAATATTGCACGTGCATGCTTTTCATTAAAACTTTGGCTCTCTCTCTCTTTCTCGTTTTAGCCTGAGCTCATTTTCTTCTCAAAGAAAACATAGCTCAATCGGGGTAAGGCTACAAGTGTAGGTATAACTTTATAGAATATATAAGAGAGCATGTGTATGTGTATGTGTGTGTGTATGTATGTGTTTACACTGCAGGAGCGTAAATGCTCGAATAGATCGATAGGTAAACCTTCTCGAGAGGCGCCTTGCGAATGTAAATTAGGGATGTGATATATCGTTGTATGTATGTGTGTGTGTGTGCAATCGCCGAATGCAGATGGCCGTTCCGGCGCGAATTCGTAATACGATATCTTGATTGCACGCGAACACGCGATCTCTTTCGAGCTATGAAGTAGAAAGGCCGCGCCGAATGATGCATACATCTTCACCGTTCGAAAATGACCGGATTATGACGTCTTTCATTGCCATCCTCTTGGAATTCAGTTGGATTATGCTTTTTGGAGCATATATTTTTAAAATCGAGCGTCTATTAGATCAGGACATTTTTACATGCCTATATATTATACGTGTATATATATATATATATATATATATATATATATATATATATATATATATAAAGAACTTTTATCTTGGAAGATCTCAAAAAATAGGATTTTAAAATTCTCTGTTTTATAAAAAAAAATATCTGCTAATAAAAAATAATTTTTTATCAGTAAATACATTGTTTTTTTTTATTTAATAATTGTTAATAATTTTTCAAATCTTAATCTACAAGCTTATTGATATGAACATTTAGTAAAGTGAAGAAAAAATACAGAATATATAAGAAGTGAAATACAAAGTAAATATAAAGAATTAAAGAAATATAAAGTAAAAAAAAATAGAAATAAAAAATAGGACAAAAATTTTATATGATATTTTTAAATATATAAAAATGTAAAGAAAGAACATATACAACTTCATCTATATATTTTATTTTTCTAGAATACGCAAAATATTTCTTGATAAATATAGATTTTTTAAATTTATATTTTAAAGATTGTTATAATTGAAAGCATGATAAATATCTTAAGGTACGCTTCTATTTTTTTTATAAATTATTTTTTTAATAGTATACATAAATATACAAAATGGTAATTACGTTTTTATATCAGTTATTATCAGGCGCTTCAATGCTTTATCCAAAGCACTGATTAAATGCAGATTATATAGCCAATTTGATTGCAAATTTTGTACAATTCATGTTTCACGTTCCTTTATTAGTTTTCCATCAAGGCCTGTTATAACAACTCGTTCAAGCTGTCCTGAGGAAACAAGAACCTTGCCCTCTGATTTAACCCTGACTTGCCCTCTGTACGCTCGACACACGACATGCACGCAAGAAAGCTTGAGCGCATTTATTATTCTGCACTTGTGTATAACACTTCGCGTTAAACTTCATCATCTTCTAAAGCATTCGCCATATAACAGAGAAACATACATAACATAAAAATCTCGGTAATTTATAACCAACCACATGCAACGGCGTGACTAATGTTTTTATTATTTCTCAGCTATCCCGCAGGGGAACTTAAACGGTTCTTGACCCTATTTCGATTTTACACCTTATCTCTTCTTATTTTTTCTCTTTTTTTGCTTCTATCTTTTTTCTTTCTCCTTATTTTTGATTTTCTCCTGTTATTTTTGTTTATTATTTTTTTTATTTTTTCCTTCTTTCCTTTCTTTTTAATTTTCTTGCTTTTCTTTCTTTTTTTTTTAAATTTCCAGGCGTTTTAATTATCACAACAAAGCACGAGTAAACTTACGTGCACTCAAATTCTAATTCAAAACATGACAAATAGACATTAATAGGGCATGTCTATCGCTCGGCGTGTCTTCTCTTTTGGACATTCAAATTGACACCTTTCGTGCGCGATCAGTTCCGCCGCCCCGCCGCGACATATTTCGCGAGATGCCTGCACGCATAAGCGCCGCATACCAAGTCCTATATAAAGGAACGTGAGGATTCCAGTACGATCTCAATTGATATCTGATATTTCAAAGGACGTGGTATCATCGGGTAAACTGATCGCGAAGTTATTCTGAAAGTCGCCTTCGTCTGGAATGGTTCTTGCATTTAGCAGATATTGAAAAGAAATAAATGAATTACGGTTAAATCATAAAAATTAATTCTTAAATACAGAGAAAGAAAGATATTTGTCTAATATTATGCGAAAGATAATAATACAAATATAAAAAAATAATATATATATGTATATATAAAGAATTCTCATCATCTGAAGATATCTATGGAGACATAACAGATTGATATAATTTCACTTAAAATTAATATTTTTTTCAGTAAACGCATTGTAAAATATTAATAAGCATTGATATTTTTTCGGTATCTTTAATATCGCAGCATTAAGAATATTTCAAACAAGATGTTGCTATCGACTCGAGCAGCCCGGTACGCTGCTCTCATGGCCGAACCGGACGAACTCCACCCAGGTGTAAAAAGGCGTTTAATTTTAGGAATTGCTTTATTTCTCGAGCATAAATATTATCTGATGTATTTCAGAAAGAATACTTTATCCACGTAACACGAGAACTCTGCCAAAAATACCCGTAGTTGGTGGGCAACCTATCGAAGAAGAAACATGCATGGTAATATATAATTTAAAATATATAACTTTTGTTACATGAAAAATAAAGAAAAAGAGAAGAAAGAAACGATTTAATCAAATTTTAACAAATAACATTTCAAAAATTTCTTTATTTATATGTGAAAACTTAATTTATAAAAATTAATTTATAAGAAATTATATTTTAATTATTTATTATGCTCCCTAATGTATCATTGTAACAACTTACTTCTGTTGCAGGCTCTGAGAACGTTGGTCTTTGGTTCCTGCGCAAGTCCACCTAAAATCGAATGGACAAGAACCGGGTTAACTTTACGACCGTATGGCCAGAGTTTGGCGTTCGGATTAAGAACTCCCAGGAATACAACAAGAGGTCTTGTCACCGCGGTGCAAGCTATCATGCTAAAACACTTTTTGTTCAAATGCAACAGACAAGATTTACGCGTCGAACCCGAAACGTAAGTGCCTTCAGAGATAGCACATATGTTACATTATTTTATTATCACATACAGATATTTTATATCATGAAATGATATATGTTTTAGATATATATATTTATAATTTCAAATTACGAGAAGAATCTTAAATTTTTTTGTATAGTATGACACAGTAGAATAAAAAATATAACAATATTATCGGATAAACGTATACAATTAAAATTCTGTAAATTCTGTAAAAACATATAATTTAATTCTAAAAAGAATTTCTTATGATCGCAGTTTATTGAAACCCTCATACGATCGACAGATCGAAGTATTGACTTCCGCGATATCGGAAATTATTTGGCGTTGCGCCGGTGGCTTCTCCGGCTCCATGTGCACAAATGTTGTCAGTAACACCGTGCCAAAGGCCGTGGTGGCTCTACCACAGGATACACCTTATCTTCAACATAGTGTACAATATTTTCAAGACGGATTAACAGAAACGGTACATATATTTTCCTTTTTTTATGCTCTTTTACACCAATAATTAATTCAAATTCCCGATAAATAATAAACAAAATTGCATAACTTATAATTTACTAAATGACAGTTTTAATATTTTTCTTTAATTATTATTCATAAATAGTACAATTTTTTACATTAAATTAATAACAATCAAAAATTTAAGTTTATATTTAATTTAAAATAATACGTGACAAAATTAATATTCTTAATTAATAAGTTAATTTAGTTATGCAGTAGTACGTGTATAAAAGAGTAACACAGTGAAATCTATGCTTTCTCATATAATTAACGTACGAGGAAATAGCGTTTGTCAAATTATAGTGCTCGTATTTCGCCAAGTGTTAAGAATATTCTCTCGAAATTGCACGACCTATATGTCTCTGAAATCATGTAGTTAACAATTTATTTTTTATAATATTTTATATAAGATCCAAAAGTACATATTTGCTGAAAGATTGCTTTGTACTCTAGCTGCATCTCTTCGAATTCAATTCATTGGAGGATCTTGAGATATTTATTAAAAGATATTTATATCTGGTAAGTATGTTTACAAAATAGAAAGTTAAAATACTTGGTTCATTAAATGTCAGACATAACTTATTTAAAGAAATTGTGTATATTCATTCTATATCAAGCTCAAATCTTTATTATTTTTCATTTTCACTTTAGGCGAATTTTTTTATAAGAAAATATAAGATTATTTTATTTAAAATTAATTTTTAAAGACAATTTTTTTATTATAAAAAAATATTATTTACATATATTTTATTTTTAGTTTCATGACGAAGGCGGACCTGGTGCAAAATTACTTTTATACAGCGCAGTACTTTCAAGAGGCCTCTCAAAGTGAGACATTTCATTCTTAATTTTTTCAATGCTATTATTTTACTCAAATTAAACTGAAAATGAATAAAAGTTGCTTTAATTAGACAATCATTTACATATTACTTCCATTAATAATAATTAATAATAAAATTTAAATATTTGATCACACAGAGTTCAGAATGATTTGGAAGATCCAAAGGCGTCGATTCTTGGTGGATGTTCAGAGGAAGGCCCAATCAGCATCGTCGTCCTTATTTTAACTGGTCGTGTTTCACCGCATCTTCATAATGGAGTAGTTCACGTTGGCGATGAAAATACATATGTAAGCTTATTTTGTTAATTTAATACTTTAGTATCCACAATATACATTTATAATTATATTTACTGATAATACAATTAATTGAAAATAAGGCTGTACCACAATGGGGCGTTCTTACAAGAAGCGAAGTGGGATTTTTAATACATGAAGGCGATGTAAGCAAACAGCCAGGTTCTCGTTTGAAGACACCCAGTTTACCGATATGGGTGACTCTTTGCCTCGGTCATCACGGCGTGCTCTTCAATACAAATCGAGAATTATTGAGAAATTATCACGCAGAACGACGGTATTTATTTTGCTCTACTTACTTCTTAATTTTCTATTTTAATAATAATTTATTAATTTATTATATTAAACACAGTACATAATATTACTCATCTATTGCAATATATCATATTTTATTTCTATTATATCACATAATCATCTCTATATAAAATATAAAAAATTATATAGTTTAGACGAATATAAGAAATATTATATATGTAGATTATATGTTGAGAGGATAGTTGACAGGATCCACTTCTAAACTTTTAAACACGAACTAATATACAAATAGTACCCTTTCCATTTTCATTTGAGGTCCTAAAGAAATATTATCCTGTACATATTAAAGTTTCGAGGTCCAATATTTTACCTGCGGTGGCAGTCACGCTACGTTGACGGTAGATACCAGGGCAAACCAAACTTCCGGGCTATCAGATGCTGCAACAATGGAAGCCGCAGATATCGCCGCAACGCCGTTGGAGAAACTCATTCGATCCAAGTCAGTATATAAAATAAAAATAAATTATCTTTAAAAATAAATTTTAAATTCTTTTCGAAACTTTTGATTCTATACATACTAAAAAAACGTAAACTCTTACTTTGATGGATAATTTTATTATTGCATGACATATCTAATTGTGGCTTAAAACTTTATATATTTATATATAATAGAACATAGTTTAATTTAAAAAATTTCTTATTTTCTCTATTAAAACCTTAACTATAAAAAAGAAAAATTTTAAATTACTATTGTTTTCTCAATTACGGAATAATCGGACGATATCTGCGAGATCGCTCAAACGTTACTTTAAGTGACGTAGAATTCAAGGTATCATCTCTCCTATTTGTTTCACGCTACATCAAAGGTGGCAGGATGCCCTTATACAATGGAACGGAACACCAGTGATGTGAAGAATTCGAAAAAAATGTGTGTTAAATTCTTTCATGTTAAGCCATGTAATCCGTGATTCCACACGATGCTAATCGATTGTTGCGCCCGCTTAATCTCAAGCAAAAACTTATCGTTAACAATATTCAAGTAGATATTATATTATTTGTGTCGCAATGTTAGGCACTATAATTTTACACATGTGATAAGATTAATCTTTGGCGCTTTCTTAGATAGTGCAGTAGATATTTGTATGCTAATCCCGAAAAACTTTGTTATTTTATAAAATATATTAATTATCAATAAATAACTGTTAACATAACATCGGAGTATCATCTCAGTTATTGAGTTAACAATGTTAAAAGATTATCATTGCAGAGTGATTGGGTATTTTGACAACTTCTTTTAATGTCGAATGTAAAGCGGCCAAATCCATCAATAGTCAAATTCGTTCTCGGCATATTGCTTTGTTATCGATAAAGTGTCGCATAAAATATAAAGTATAAAATATAAAAATTATACATCAAATAAAAATATTAAAAAATTAAGACGTTATTTGAATAAAACCAGTATTATTAGTTAATAACTCAAGAAAAATCTATTAAAGACATTTGTAAATCAAAACAAAGTAAAGACTTGGAAAGTAAAAAAAATATTTTTTACTTATAGTTTTAGAAACATTTTACATATGTACATTTAATTAAATAAGAATTATGTTTAAAAAATGATATTCATAAAAAATTATATAATTGATATAATTTTTTAAATATTTATATATTATAAATAATATACTAATAATTTCCAAAACGTAAATAACTAAAATAATAAAACAGTTAAATAAATAGCGCGCGGCACGAATTGTAATCAGTAATATATAATATTTCTAAATTTAATTCGATTTCTTTTATTTTCTATAAGAAGTCAGACATATATATAATAGTGTAAATCTGAAGTGACATAAATCTTCTACTAGTCATCCTTAGACAATTGGAATACTCATTTAGTTAATGATTAATAAACTCTTATTAAAGTTATCACGCGATCGCGTGGGAAACGATATGTTTTCTTTAATTTTCATACACGCAATATATGATATCATGATTATTATCAGTATTCATACTGATGGACGTATTACATGAAAATCGACAAAAGAAATTTTGATTTACTGTGGTGTACTGTGGTTTTTATTATTACAATACTCCATGCAAAATACTTTTGCAACTCAGTAAGTATATTATTTTATCAACATTCTAATATTTAAAAAAGTAATTAGATAAATCATTTATTTTAAAACAGTTTCTAAGAGAAAATAAAGACAAACGTTATTTCTATAAATAAAAAATGCAGAAAAGGCCTAATGTAATAATAAAAAATTTTTAAAAGTGAAAATATTTGAAACATTCAAAACATGCACTCAGCATAATGTTTTTTACGAAATCAAATAATCTACTTCAAAGCAAATAAATCTCGATTTGCGTTGTAATAGTCAAGTATTTGAAGACATTTACAATGATTGAGCATTTACAAGAATATTTGATAAATTGCCTGCTCTAGTCGTCAACTGATAGACGCACCGTTAGCAAGTCATCCTGCGTAAATCGTGCACAATAACAGAAACTGGTTCAAAGTGGAAAGAATTTAAGACGGACCGATGTTTATTAACTGCAAGCACCGTGCATAATAAAAATAATGAGAAAGAGAAACGAGAGGAGGAACGGAATACGCCCGCAATTTCACAGATCGATGATCCGCGAAAAATACGTCGCGATATCATAAGCGAAACGCGCACGGGTCTCGTTCCACTTGGCATTGACCATTTCTCACGACATTAAATCACAGATTGTCAAAAGAAATGTGATATTTGGCTGCGCATTTTACCGAAAAAAATTACATGCTTACGTAATTTTATTCACTATTGTTTGAGTATGCAATTTTCGGTATTCACAATTTCATACTTATGTTATTAAGAAACATTGAGGGATTAAGAGAGAAAAAATTGAAATGAAAAATGTTATAATATTGCACCAGGTCAAGTAGATTACTTAATGTGGATTATTATTGGCAGAACACCGTTAGGCAAAATTGTGATTGAATGCATAATTTTCATATATTTTTCAAATTAAATCTAAGCTTATTATTATTATATTATTAAATTGTGATACTATTTGTTGCTCTTTTACAACCTTTTAATTATCAATCCTTCTTTTTTTCTTCCTCAGTTTATATTAATTCTTATTTTTTATTATTATTTGAAATATTTTTATCTTTTTTTTCTTCTTACACTCTCTTTTTAATTTTTTATTTCTCAGGAGATCTCAAGGAAACTTGAAGACCGGGAATATTCGCACTCCCATGCTCCGGGAAGGTCGATGCAAGTCCCTGTGCAAGGGTTCCAAAGATAGGGGTCAGTGTGTACGTGTTCGAATATGCACGCATAAGCATAGTGTCTGTTCCCCTATCGTATATGAAAGCAAGCACCTGTTCGCGGTGCAATTTCAGGTGGACGTTTCTGTTGGCCGCCGCAGTCCCCCCCTTTCTGACACAATAGGGAGCCAGCCAACTTCCCGAGTGCCCCTCCGGCCGCTTTGCTCTCAACGGCTCCGTTTTATAGTAAAAAGTTCCACAGCCCTACAGCACGTCGTAGTCGTAGCCGAGTTTGATACGAAATAGATCCAGATCGGTGTGTATGAAGTGCAATGTATAAGAAACTAGTGCAAGGAAATAAAACAGCTAAGATAAATAAATAAAAAAAAGAATTCTGGAAACCTCTGGAAAAAATGTCTATAATTGCATAAAAGAATAAGTGATTTTCTAGAAAGCGATTCAACACAGCAAAAAAAATGTGAAAACTAAAATGTAAATCGTGAATAAAAAGTTTAAGTAAAATTTTGTGAATATTTAATTTCTTTAAAGAGAAGATAAAAGACTGCCGCGTTTTTTTATTAAAAAAATTCAGTCAAAAAGAACTACATTTGTGATAAAATTTGAAAAATTTGTTCTTATGTTTGTTATGTATATGAAGATACCGTGAGAATTAGAAGAATGACTGGTCGCGCCGATCGATAAGGACTATTGAGGGTGTAATTTGTGAGCCCTTTGTGTTTTTCGTTATAAAAGGCAATAATTAAGAATATGGTGAATCAAGAAAAAATTAACAATTCATGGGATTTACTTTGGTAATGAAGAACTGGTGGTGTTAAGAAAGGTCTTTTATCTTCGCAAAATCATAAATACACGGACGACGTGCTTTTTCCGAGTGCATTTTGTGGTGAGTACCATTTGTCACAATTATTTATTATCATTTAATTTAATTTTAAAATACTGTTATGTTCAAAAGGTAACAAACTATATATAACAATATTAATTAAATGCAATCTATGATAATATCTATTAATTGTTAAAATTTATTATTTTTCTTGTTCAATATTATTAAAATCTTTTAGATCATCAGTTACAAATATATCTAAAGCGAAAATATAATAACTAAATTAATTATTTTAATTAAAGCATATAAAAATATAAGAACAATACAAATTATAAGAAAGTATACATTTTTGAATAAGCATTATTTTATGTATAACTTCCACTTTTATGCTATACATTATAAAGTATAATTAAACAAACAATATAATATAACATGATCAAGCACGATCGTATAACAATAATACAACAATTAAATATCATCTTGAATATTGCTAAGTAAAGTCACGATTGTTAATTTTTCAAGCAATGATAAAATAATTAATCGCAAACTTTAATCAAAATAAAAGAGATCAACATGAAAAAATTCAAATCATCAAAACTGTCAATATCTAACCAATTCTTTTATGTAGTTATATTTGCCGGAGTCGAGACCGGAGGCCTTTACGCCGGTTGCTCATCACGTTGCGTTTCAATTTACGGTCCGTGAATTTAAGCAGTACTGCGGCCCACATATGGTCAAAGTATCCGGTTAATATTTTTTTTTATAAATATAAATAATCAGTTTATTCATATAAACAATTTACCAAGATTTTCTTACATTGTTTTTAATATATTCTTCATAGCCTTTTAACTATTTATATCAAATGACGCTAAAAACGTGGGAAAAAATACAATACAGGCCATCCTAAGTTTATAAGAAAACATTTTAAAGAGAAAGAAGCGGAATTGAAACTTCAAAACATTTCTATCTATAATCATTATAAATCAAAAGATTATAACAAAAGTTTCCCCAAAAAATTATATCAAAATTTTTCGCAAAAAAAGAAGTAATTTATAATGTTGAGATAATATGGAAAAAATTGTTACTTACATAATTCCAAGCAAAATAATAATGAATATTAATTAAATTATTATTATTATATAGTTATAAGCATATAATACTAAATTATGAAAAATATTTTGAACTTAATTAAAAATGTTCCTTAATATTATTAATATTATTTAAAAATAAAATATATATAAAAATGCATAATATTTTTTTACTCATATAAAATCAATATTATATACTCAACGACATGCATTTCCGGAATTTCAATGTAGTGAGCATACTTTCTTCATATCTTTTACTTCAAGATAAAAATTTAATTAATAATAATAAATTAATACTTGTATATTTAAATAATAAAATTCTTATATTAAAATACAAATACTATATTTATCTATTTGCTATCAAATGAATGGCAAAATGTAAAGATGTAAATAAACGTTAGTCGGTCGCACTTTCTCATATTAATAAGCTTGAAGAAATCTACTTCCATTTTTGCCATTCAATTGTAAAAAGAAACATTGTGTTGGGTAATTTCAATATCTTAAACTCCAATAATGATCATCAATCTTTCGATATGACGTCACTAAAAAAATACATAAATTGCACAAAAGGCGACAGTGCAAGGTGTAAAGAGTTGTCTCCGGAATTAAATTGCACGAGTCATTCCTGATGACGAGTAGTCCTACATAGCCGTAGCTCCACGTAATAAAGGAGTTTCTCTACATGCTTTCTAACCACGCGTTATGCTCATTCTGCAGACACGTTTCGTCGTCGGACGAGGTGGTTGTTTGTTCATCGCTTATGTCCTTCTACTCGTCTGTTAACCTGATGATAAACTTGATGTTACTTGCACATTACTGATAAATTGTTACGTTTAATGGCATGTTCTTACATCATCTTGTTGAACACTAAGATATATGTAAATATAAAATAAGCAATGCTTATGAAATTGTTATCTTTAAAAGAGAGAGACGCTATTATTATTTTTACTCTATCATTCTTCTCCAAAAGATATCAAAAAATTCAAAAAATGTTTATAAAAAATAAGTAAAAAATATTCTAAGATTTGAAACGTACTTTCAGTTTCACGAATCATTTCAGTTTCATCCAAGTTTTCACAATTCTGTAATTATTTTTTTAATCTTGTTATTATTTTCTTCCTTACCAAACTTATTTTATTATTTTTCAAATAATCTTTTTGATGTGAAAAAAATTCTGATAATTTACTTATTTTATTCTGATAATTATTTCATTGATTGAAAATTAATAGAAAATTACAATTTGACGATACGTAAATTTTGTAATTTTTTATTGTTTTGGTTAATTATGAAAGAAAATTAAGTTTTATTCTTAAAATTGAAAAGCCGGAAATCTCTTAACATTAAATATATATATAAAAAAAGAAAGAAAATTGTAGATATAATAAAAAAATAATAAAATAGTTGTTTTGTATACAAATTGCATTACATAAAATTCTTGCACTTTCATGTTATTATATCACATATACATTATATGTTGTTGCAACATCAATGAAAAGTGAATCTTAATAATAAATATACATGTTAGATAAATTTATTAAAAATAATTTAATTATTTAATAATGATCGCAAGTGATGATCGAAAAATGTACTAAATTTTATTATTAATTAAACTTAAAATATTTGACATTTACAGTATTTCGAAGCAATTAATATAAAAAAGAAACAGTAACAAACGAATTATATATTATAATTAAAAACTTTTTACTTTTTACTTTCTATATAATTTTTGTAAATATATATATATATATATATATATATATATATATATATATATACTTATGATATCTTATATAAGATTTTTTCGCGACAAATAAGAAATTCCTGAGCGAAAACCAATAAAAATTCTGTAATGATTCCAAGAAAGCAGATATAATATAGGACCGTAGAAAATATTATTTCCTCGAATACGATAAATAAATCGAAATATCTTCTGAGAAATTTCATTCCCACGGTGCATGAGAAGATTAAAGAAAACTCAGTTACGAATGACAGAACTTGAATTTCTCATATCATCCTTCTCGTTTCCCGTCATTAATTTTCATCCATATTTTTTTTATAGATGTACCGATCGATGGAATCGATGGACGATGATTTTGAATTGCCATGGGACGAAACATATTGAAGATCTTGTTGCTTCTCTGTTGCATACTGCGACCGCATGTCGGACAATGTAAGTCTTTTTTCATTAATTTCTTCCTTCACATATCTCTGTCCTTCGTCTTATTGCATCTTGTATATTTATGGAAATTGATGAAGCAAAATATAATAATATAGTGCTTCATATAAAAAAGAATACATTATATATACTTCAGAATTTTTCAATAATTAAAAAAGATTAATGAAAGGTGAAAGTAAATTTATAATTTTTAAGCCCACTTATACTATTTACAATAGACTTTACAAATTATATATTTATTTCGCTTTCTCTTATTAAACCTTCCAGATCTATTTTTATCTAAATTATTAGTAAACGTGTTTACGTCTTTTGCATAAATCGCATGGAAAATGCAATTTATGTTTGCATTAGTCGTGGGTGTTTTTGCGCACGATCGAATGACGCTCAACTTTTGGTCCTCGTCTATGCCAGGAAAGACGTTTGCGAAAGGCAAACCCGTAACGATACGCCATGAGTTCGCGACCGGAACTTCGCTCCAAGGAAGCGCATATATCTACCCTCTCACACACGCGTTAAATAGCCCACGCATATTCGCGTATGTATCCGATATGTGTCTTTCCAGCGTCCAAATTTCCGTCAATCAATTGGGAAGAATGAATGATGTCATTGAATGGCATAGTGTCTAAACTTTTGCCGCATAAATTTCACAATAAAATGTTTGAAATGTTGAATGAAACTTTTCTTCCAACAAAAAAGATTATTTTCTTCCGCTTGCGACATAGTTCCATTATAATAATGATATGAAAATGTTCAATTACGATCATAATATAAATTCAGACTTGCTAGTTAATTCTGTTCTCTTCGATTTTATCTTATTAATTTTGTTCATTATATGCTCGTTATTAAGATAATAACAAAATCTGGTAAAGCTCTATAAATACAAGTATTAAATTATTGCTGTTTTACTCTTCGAAAGATTACATATGATTATAATGATCGATAAATTATGCATAAACTGGACTTGGAAGTCTTTGACAAGATAAATCGTAACAGCGAAACGAGGCGCAAAAGCGGCTATCATGATTTATGTTAGCATTAGAACTAAAGCTGTTGTTAAGCACGAACAGCTTCGCCACCCCTTATATGCATTTTATCCAACGTGCATTATCCGGTTATTACATGTATGAATAATAATATACGAATATATGATGATATTTATTCCATTATGTAGATAACATATAGCAACTCTTTTTATTTTACTAATTTTTTTCAATAAAAAATACTTTATTTTCTACAAATAATATTCTTTTTCAATAAAATATGCATTTAATTAAATTTCCACAAAATCTTTATCTTTCTTGCAAAAAGATACGTATATTTTTTCTCGGAAGGATTTTAAAAATATCTCTCTATATACATAATATACATTTATTTTTAAACGATTTTATTTTTAAACGATTTTAATTTAATAATATTTATTAAATAATACTTATAGCTAGTAATTTAGAAAAGTGTTCTCGCTTTCTTATTACGCTCTAAATTACACAGATACGTTATGTTTACGGTAAACTTAACTGCATTACGATGTAACGCTTCTGGAATGCATGTATTTGTGCAGGATCGTTTAAAGTCATTAAAGCATCCGTAATTAATAACTGGACAATGAGTATTACAAGCAAGTATGTGTGTACATTAATATTATAAGTATTATTTTATTAGATATATGTATGTGTGTGTGTGTGTGTGTAAATTAATCAGTAATAATAATAATAAAAATTTACATGTTTTCTTGTGCTATTTTTTAATGCAATTATTAGATTATTAATATAATTATATGTTAAAGTAAATTATACAACTTTTTTATTAATTAATATTATTAATTAATATATGTTTTAAATTCATCAATGGTCAATCGTTATATTCGCTTCGATCTTATGTACCGTTAGAACGAGAAACCCCAGATGGAGATTCTCACAAGATCATTGTCCCACGGTCCTTTCATCATCGCTGCGATCCGAAACTTGTGTAGTCCATTGAATTTGTAACCTATTGAAAACCGGTTATCCGATTTCAACAGGAAACTGCAATAAAGGCACTTATCTGATATTATATCTATTGTATATAATTACAATAACATGATTTTTTTGAAAACTGAGAACTGAGAACAGTACGTGCATTAAATTCATAAAATGCTATTCTTTTTATAAAATTTAAATATATTGTTTTATTAATATTTATAATTTTGTGCTTTATAATTTTCCTATTAAATGTTTTTCTTTAAATGTTATATTAGAAGAATTCAGAAAGTATAATATAATTCTCAAAAGTTTTATATGTTCTAAAAAGTTTATGTATTTCTTATTTTCTAAAAAAAAAGAGAAATACTTGCAATATTGCAATACTTTTATTAATTGTAGAACGATTCCACTCCTTTCTCCTTTAGAAAACTAATCCTCTATTCCTTTTACTTTCAGTAATAATGAATTTCTGGTTCAACGTACATATTTCATAATGTATGCCGACAATCGCCCGATTTTCTTTGCAGTAATTCAAGACAAGCGATGCTTCCTAGAAAACGGAGCTACTGCGGCGCATCTCTTTGTCAACGAGGATCTGCCTGTCGGCGGCATCGTGGGAGTTCTAGGAGTAGTGGGTGACCCCGGACTGCAAGGTGACATCGAGCTCAGCTTGCAGGAGCATGACAGCCCTGTCGCTTTTTCATCTTACTCGAAGAATTTAACTCTCATTAGACCTCTCGATAAGGAGGGCGTCGAGGGACCAGCAAGCGTCTACATCAATGTTATCTGTGAGAAGAAACATACCTTAGATCCAGTAAGACGATTCCTCTATTTTTATTGAATGATGGATATTATCTTATTATTTTCTTATTATTTTTACTATCGTTTATTAAACATTTATTTTTTTTATGTTTAAAGGGATTTATCATACCAGTGAACATTCGAGTAACCGACGCAAATGATAATTCACCGCAATTTATAAATGCACCTTATGTGTTGAATATTTCTGAGGTAAAAAGATTTTTCATTTTAATATTTTAATATTAATACATTGCTCTTTGACGTGTGTAACGTGACGTGAATATTTCAGGTAACCGTTCTCGGCACGAGAGTCCTACAAGGAGTTCGAGCTGTTGATGCTGATCAACCAGGACCATATTCTACTGTGCAATACGCAGTTTTATCAGGATCTTATTCGGTATATTTTATAAATATTTATACAATTCTAAATTATTTATCTCATTAATAAATTTTTTACCATTTTTCTGTATTTATTATAATATTTATCTCACCATCTTTTTTATTATTTGCTTTATTATTAATTTATTTCATTAATATAATTTTGTAACTAATAATAATTTGTACTTAATAATAATTAATAATAACTTTATTTGTAAAAAAATGTAGTTTGAGGGAGAGAGATAAACAAATAATTTTTATTTTTATGCACAGGATTATTTTGTTTTTGTAAACGCTTTGGAAGGCACTCTCGTACTAAGGAAATCGCTTGATTACGAGACTCTCACCAATTTTTCTGTTGGTATCCGCGCACAAGTAAGTTTATTTGCGTATTATTTTAAAAGATTAAATAAATACATTAAAATTGATAAATGCATTATAATTAATAAACACATTAAAATGAATACGCGGCTTTCAAAAACTTCATTATTATTTTATAAATTTCACAGATTATACTACACAAAAGCGAATATTTATTGCATAAAAATTTCGTTTTTTCTAATGCAAAAATATGATTTGGATTATGATTGACAAAATTGACCAAAAATTATATTCTTTATGATTTGCAAAGATACATAAAACAATAACAGAACTTAAAGTGTGTACTTAAAGTAGAACTATAAATGGATCGCTATAGATTTAAATAAATCGATTTAAATAAATTGATTTATAATTCATGCGTATCAATGCGCAACACTGAGCAAGTAGATTATAAAAAAGATTCTTAATCGAAAGATCAAGCAAAATAATGCTATTTATATCACGCTTATTGTACTCGCACAATAAAAGCTAAAAAAGTGTTTTCCCTTTCATTCCAATACATATTTATAAAATATAGCTACTTTTGAATTGCGACCTAATATCAGTAATAAATTTTGTTTTTATAGGACCAAGGTAGTCCGCCACGTTCGTCTATGACGACATTATACGTCAATGTTATCGATGCTGACGATCAAAATCCAGCTTTCTTGAATAATCAATACAAGGTCGCTGTACCCCATCACGTGAAGGGGGTAAGACTGATTATTTATTTTCTTGCTGAGAAATTCATTTCGTCAGATTCGATTTTATTTAATAGAAGATACAAATTAAACAAAAATAGATTTGATTATTTTAATTATGTACAGACATACATTACATATATTATTTTATATTAAATATTTAAAAAATAAAAGAAGGAATAAGATATAATAATAAAGAAAAAATTTTGAAGGAAAAAAAATAAAAATTTAATGTGAATTAATTTAATATAAATACTAATTCTTAGAGAAAAACGTTGAAAGTGACTCCTGCCGCAATAAAAGCCGTAGATCAAGATGTTGGAATAAATGCGCCAGTTCGATATACCATTCAAGGTGGAATCTTACCCTTTCTGGATTTAAATCCTGAGACTGCTGAAATCGTTATGATACGATCACTGCAGGATCACGAACTAATGACGTCAGCCACTATCGTCATTAAGGTAGAATTTTGTCATTAAATTTATAATTTAATCAAATCCTTGACATTATATATAAAGTTATAATAACAATAAAATATTGTTATTTGTTAAATAGGCTACTCAAGTAAATAATCTAGACAGATATGCCCTTGCCACAGTTATCGTATCGCGAGAAGATGGCTATGGTGTTGGACCAACAGCAGGTATATATATTTTAATTATTTTTCTTCAAATTGTTTTTTTTATGTGACATACATATGTTTTATTCACATATAATACATATGTTTTATTCACATATAATAATTATCACATATTATTATATTTATCATTATTTAATCATTAAAATAATTGGTTTGCAATTAGTTTGCATTATTAAATAATTACGATAGAAACTTATTATTTATATATTCTTCACCCAAAATTTAATTTATACATATATAATTTCGTATGCATTGAAAGATTGAAACTAAAATGTAAAATAAGAGACCAAAATAATCGAATCCAATTATTATCGGTTTAATAACGTATCTTGTGTCAAATTAAGATGATGTTTATCTTATGCATGCTAGGTGGTCGATTACCCGTGAAATTCGTGCTAAAAGATCATCAAACGAGCATACCGGAAAACACACCGCGCGGAAGCATTCTTCTAACAACGAGAGTCAACAAAGCCGATCCTGTAAGTAGTATAAAAATTCGCTCTAACAATAAATATGTAAGTAAACTGTGACACAGCAGCGTAGTATTTTAGCCTTTAATCCTAGGATTTAAGATTTTGGTTGGTGGGTGCGGCCGAGGATCTGGAAAGATTCTCGATCACTAATTCTGGCGAGTTGATTCTCAAAAGTAATTTGGATTACGAGGAGCGGATCCAGCATAATTTCTTGGTTCACGTCACAGATGGATATCATGTATGTCCTTTTAGGATTTTTACATATCATAACTTTTATAAATCGTAGCTTTTTTCTATATCATATCTTTACAATATATATGTAAATTTTTTTTCAGAATGATACATCACGGGTGAACATTTCAGTCGAAGACGTGAATGAGTGGGAACCTCGATTTCGATATACCAGCTACGAATTTCATGCTCCTTCCGCGAGAGAAGGCTCTATCGTTGGTAAGTCTTCCCTTTATTGTAGTAAATATCGAACTAAATTTCTATTGCACGATATTTGAATTGACATAACTTTTCAGGAAGATTGATAGCAGCTGATGGTGATACAGGCGATAAAGTCAGTTTATCTCTCCAAGGACAAGATGCGAAGTATAAATTATATATATATATATATGAAAACAATATTACACGAGAGAAAGCAATATACATTACATTAAAATGTTATACTTTAAATATAAGATAATTGATATATAAATTCTAAAAAACAAAATCTTTCAATTCTAATAAAATACATACATATTTATTTACTTATTCTTTATGAATTATTTTTAATATAATTACATAAATCGTTCTTTCAGATCTTTTCAGATTAAAGACAACGGAGAATTAATGCTACGATCATCATTTAATGGATCTGTGGCTCGATTTATGGCGGTGGCTTTCGATTCCGGAAAACCGTCCAGGTATTTATACATTTTTCTGTGATTATTTAATTCAACGTTAATGATCATTCTAGATATTAATCTGCATTCGTTTGCGATTTTTCTAGATACAATACGGTCCCGGTAATCGTACATATACCAAATAGTGGCTCATTGCCTATTGCTGCAAGAGCTGCACCCGCTTGGCTCGGTAATAGTGTGCTATTAGTTGCAATCTTTGGTGCAGTTTTGGGTCTTCTTGGAGTCGTTATACTCATTCTCATTCTTTATATTTATAAGCAGTGAGTAAATTTGATTAACATAAATTCGAAATAATTTTATATTGATTAATTAGAACACTGAATAATAATGTATTTTTACAAATAGCATCATAAATTAAATTTATCAAAAGATTACTAATAAGTATGCATCTTTATTGTCGAATTATTAGATAATATATCAAATTTACATATGTCATTACGGAGAACTAAAGTCCTATTACAGATTTGATATTATTGATTGTGATATTGTGATTTTTTTCGATGCATCTTCGAGACTCATACATTCATATAATTAAAGTATCACAAATTGAAAAAATTTTTTTAAAATTAATAAGAACGTAAGGCATATTTAACTTTTTTTTCTTTAAGCAAAAGACCCAAAAGTGGTGGTTCGGTCAGTTCTGTAGGTACGGCATATCGCGAGAAATCACCGGTCCCCTCGGCTCTGAGCCCGATGCCGCAGGTACTAGGTGCCAATGTTATTCAAGACGCTTTAGAGATCCCGCGAAATCGAGTTCACGATAATGAGAATGATAACGATAGTCATAATGATATCGATAATCCCGTTTTCGGAGAAACGAATGAAAGCTCATACGGCGCTACAATTAAAAGTATGTCCATATCTACATATCTACACATAAATAATACAATATCAAGCAATCTGTCTATCCTTTAATATTTATAATAATTTAACGCAATTTATTTTTCATTTCTTAACTTTATACATCTATTTTACATACGATCTTTATGCATCTATTAAAGTAATAAAAATCAAATTCAATTTCTGAAGTAAGCTTTTTTCTACAAAATTTGCCAACGTTATTTATTTTCTTTTAAAAGTTCTGAAATTTTTTTCTAAAGTTACATGTTTATCATCAAACATTTATAACATTAATTTCTTTCTCATCTTATGTTAGGTATAGCATCAGCGAGACAATTACCATTATATGCTAAACATAAAGTGGCACCCGCCCCGAATCCGCCAACTTTATCAGCTACTTCGAATATTCCCAATATTGGCGGGTTAGTGCAAAATATGAATGATTTGAGTGCTAGGACTAATTTAGATGCTGGATCTCATGATTCTTCCAATTATTCGGGAGATCCTCCAGATTCTTTGGTGCCAGCCTGGCCTGCTAATTCAGCCTTGCCGAGAATTAAAAAATTGTCTTGGGATGATGATGATAGGGTAATTATTTCTAAATAAACTATAGACTATGAAAAAGAAGTAAATTTCACATTGAATAGTGAATTAAAAATTTTATATTTTTTAAAATAATTTTTGTATGCGTAAAATGATATTTCAAGGCATTGTTTTAAAAGGAAGAATTATATCACTGTTAAAAGATATTTTGTTAACATAAATAATTTAAATAGAGCAGTATTTTCCTCTCTCTTTCTCTTTCTACTTACTACTTATTAAATGATATGCTTACAAATAATATATGCACAAAAGAATAATTAAATCTACGTTTACTCGAATGCAAATATGTGATGCAACAATAAAGAGCAAATAAATGGAGACCAATAGAGATAGAAATTTTTTTGTTTTCTAGACCGTGGACAGCGTCGAAGTCGCAGCGGAAACGCGAACCGGAGACAATCAAGCGGGCAACGAGAGACTCAATCTCACTGTGTATTTTTAATGATCAATTATTATGTAAATGGAACGATATCGATGACGGAAGACCATCATAAACGTTGTTTGACCAATTTAGTTAATAAAATTCCGTTGATATCGGAATTATCTATGAATGAACTTTGATGCATCGCAATCATGTGACCTTACACGTGTATTCGGTCCACGGAACATCTGTGTTACCTACGTTATATCCTGCGCGGCAGGGCGTTAACTCACATCATCCCAAACAGATTACCTCCGTTATCTATTTGACGCGACATCGATCTCTAATTGCGAAAAACAATAATTATTAAAAACACTGAAAACAAATAAAGAAATTGCAGAAAATACGGAAAAACTTAATATATATTAAAATAGAAGAAAGAGAAGAAAATAAACCGAAAAGATGATCTAAGTATAAATCTGAATGAGGCATTTTATAAACATTACTAATATTTAGAAAAAAATAATAAAATTTTTTTTTGTAATTGTAATTTTGTATTAATACATAAAAAACAATATTGAGAATATATTATATAATTTTTAATAAAATTATATAAATTTTGTTAATAAAATTAATAACCTACATTTGTAATTTTTATATATAAAATATTGTATTTACGCTTATTATTATACATTTAAATTATCACAAACTTTTAAACCGCGAAATTTCACTTTGTCAGGATTATTTGAAAAAACATTCAAAGTATCATGGTATAAATGTCACGGAGATGATTAATGCATAAGAAAACAGATTGCAATTTGTGTAAATCGCATATTGATACGAGAAAGTATGATAGTTGATTATATAAATATTGCTATTACTAAAAAAATGAATGAAGTTATGTTTGCACTTTATTAAAGTCGCAAATATTTGAATACATTGAAGAAATTGGGTCAGTGGGTTAATCTTAGCGAGTATTTATACAACGAGTAAACGAACGAACATTCACTCAAGATTTAAAACTTATGAAAATCTATGATTTTCGTCAAAGATAATAAAAAATAACGGCAAACATAATATTGCAAGAATGCATCATCTCGTTATAAAGACGAATCGATTTATACAAATATCGTTTTTAATATTTTTTATATATTGTAAATTTTTTCATTGTAAGTAAGCAATTTTTTCGACATAATAATTTCTATAATATTAGTTATATGATATTAGCAATATGATAATAAGTTACATTTATATGAAAAATTTTTTTAAATTTTATTATAAAAGTTATTAAATATGATACCAAAAGAGAAGTCATAACAAACTATTCTGATTCTAAAACGTTTACAATAATTTTAATAATTATATTTTTTTATCATAAAGATTGTTTTATATTTGTTATCATATTTATTAATAAGCGCGAAAATATAAATAATCCAATTGTTCTATTAATATGTATTATTATATACAAGTTATGTATTTCATAATTTTTCATTACGTAAAAAAACATTTATTTCTTTGACATTCAATGAACAAGACTACTATTACGATCGATGGATCATCAAATTCCATCTGCTGTGGGATTGTCGAAGAAAGTGACTTGACTTCTAAGGAAGGGAGAAAGTGACCCAGAGAGGTCTGGGCTATGACTCTGGCATCGTCATCCAATCTTTTCTTCTCAGTCGTCTGTGACAAACGATTGGATGTGGAATACTGACTGTAATATCAAAACAATTGTTCCATGTAAGTGAATGAATTTATATTTATCCATGTGAGTGAATTTATATATATCACAGAGACATATTCGTTAGAGAAATATTCGTTTATTTTTTTAAAATATCTAAATGCAACTGTAAAGAAATTTGTCGTGCAATTTCCATTTCGAAAATTCGACGTTCTTTATGCATAAATTGTACATATATAAAATATGCAATTAAAATAAGTAAATATATATATATATATATATATATATATATATTTGTGTATATATACGCATGTGTCTTTTAATACTATATATTTTTCACTAAGAAGTAAAAAATGTTTCTTATTAATATGCAAATTAAAATTAATTTTTTTTTTAATTTATTTAAATCTTCATGTAAATTTAAAATCTTCTTTTCTTTACTAAATTTTTTAATATTTTGATAACATCTTGATATTTCTTACGATATATGTTAAATTAAAGAAATGAATATTAAATGTTATGTGGTACATTCTAATAACAAACACAGAAATATATTCAAATATATTTATACACGTTGGACTTTCAAGGTTAAATTATGTTGCCGGTCATTTTAGTAAATGATGCTCGTAAACAAGAATTGTGAAACAGTCATCGTTTACCGTATCCGTTTCCGGTATCTACTATACTAGCTTTTCTAATTTTATTCATTATGCAACAGTTGCCATCACGAACGTAATACATACTATAAAGAATCGTAAAGAACCAATTTTTTTCAGAAGAAATATTTTTCAGAATATCGCATAATATATATGTAGGTCTGTAAATATTTATGATAAATATATAACTATCATTTTGTAAATCAGTGACTGTCACAACGAGAACCAATCAAAATTAAATGATCAAATGCAATACAAAGAATTAATACAGCTATAAAAATAGTTCTACTTTTATATGAAATAAAATAATTTGTTATGCCGTTTCTTTTTCTATACAGCATCTTTCTCATTATTTATATCATGATGCAAGCATTCAAATTTTCTTAACTTAAAGACAAATACTTAAAATACAAATATATACACACATTTATATATATATATATATATATATATATATACATACATATTTCAAAAATTTTTTCATAGATTATATCGTTATATTATTTAATTATGTATATTATTTAGTCATTTATAAACACACATAATGAGATCGAGATTTTTCAACGTATTCATTTGCATCCGGGTATTTGCTATTTCAACATATCGCCGTAAACTTTCCTGGAGAAAGTCAGAGATACCGCAAACATCATTTCAAGCGAAAAACAGAACGCCTTTATTTCGTTTGCTTTATATTTCGCGAATTAAATGCCGGCCTTTCAGTTCCTGCATCTTCAGAGATCTCATCTGCTGTATTTCTTTGATCTTAGAATCACGATGGCGAGCAAGACAGTCATGCAATTATATTCTACAATTATGCTTATCATGTTGATAGCGATTATTAATGTAGTACGTGGTACGTATTATCATAATTTATCTATATTTTTAGCTATATAATTTTAATTTATACTAAAAAAACAGAAGAATAAATAAATGTTATCTTGGATTACTAGGTTTAAGTTAATAGAAAATTAATAAAGAAACATATATATTCTTTTATTTAAAATATTATCTTTTTATTTCATTTTTAATTATTATTCTGCTATTTGCATATTGCGTTATATTCTTATTAAATTAAATTGTTAATTTTTTTAACAGAAATATAAATTTTCCAATTTTAAATTAGATTTTTTTATATATATTTTTAATATCATAATTTTGCTAGAGTCATCCTCTTCCCAGTCAGAGTTATCACATGTTACAATGAATCATGGTCCGTGGGCAGAAGTCCTTGAAAATTGGATCACCCTTCAATCCAACAATTCTCGTGCCGCACGCATAATGAAAATTGGTGATAAAACTGTGACAGTGTCGACCAAAATCTCCACGACAAATAAAATAAAAGATGTTTCTGAAACCGATCTACAGCTCTTTGGTATGTTTAATAAAAATTTTGAAAAAAGAAAAACACGAAAAAATAATTTTCTAAACGTGTTAATATAATTTTGAAGCAATCACGTTAGTAATTAAACAAAATAGATTTAAGATTCTTGAATGAAAATTCATAGAGGCAATCGAGAAATTGTTCTACGAAGTGGGTCATTTAAAAAAACGTCTAAGAAGAGCAGAAGAGTTGTTATATTACGTTATTTCTGGGAACAATCAAATGAAAGGTAAATTAATTAACAACATTAAGAGTTAATTTCAACATGAGAAATTAATAAATAATTATAATTAAGGATATATTTCTTTTTCAATTCTCAATATTTAGAAAGAATTAATTAAATATTAAGGGGAAAAAATAATTTTTTATTTATAATACATATCCATATCATGTTTATTATTATTTTTTTTTAGAACCATGTCCTGACAATTACACAAGAATGGGCCGAAATTGCTATCATTTTAGCAATCGCGATTTCAATTGGAAATCATCAGCCAGTCTTTGTCGTGGTTTGGGTGGGCATTTAGTCGAATTCGATACGATCGAAGAGAGTCAAGACGTAATCGCTGGTTTGATGTCAGATTCAAAATTAAAGGGTAAAAATTTTTGGACGGGAGGTCTAAATCCAGGACTTGTATGGATCTGGGCTAACAGTGCTAGACCAGTCCATCTAGATACTAAACAGTCTGTCATTGGTGATGGCAGGTTCGTATCATTTATCTTGAATAGAATATATATGAATATGTAGAGATATATATTACTTTTTATACAATATAATAATTTATATATATATATATATATATATATATATATATATATATATGATATGGCAAAGTGCTCGTAAAAATGTGCTCAAAAAAATCAAATAAATATCAACTGTATGTATATGATTCTTAATTAATAAAAATTTAATTATTTTTATTTTTATTTATCTTGAAACATATAAGCGCAAATAGGAAAACTTTATTATAAATAATTAACAATAAATTCTCATTGGTAAAAGAAATAGAATTATTATTGACAGAGAAAAATAAATTATCTCTTCGTAAAATGCTACGATTTCATATTTCGTAGAACCTTGAAAATCTAGTTGTCTATATTTAAAAACCGGTTATCTTATCGTGTATGCAATGTTTTGTGGACAAAATGAATAGTTAATAATACATAATTATGATTTTTTAACAACGCGTGACGCTTCACACTACCAGCTTTGTTAGACTAAACTAATATTTGCATTATAAATATTTTTACAGATGCTTAAAGTTAACTTTCAATGCATCATCGAAGATTTATTCCTACAGAGGTGAGGATTGCAGTTTGAGACAAAGGTATATCTGTGAATTGACAATCGATGACGAATCAGCAAACAAGATCGAAAGAATAGCACGATTGATTGATAAGGATAATTAATAATAAAAAATAGAACAAAAATAGAACAAAAAGGACACATAAATATTTTTTTATATATATTACATTTTTTAGTAATTTATATAGTATAAAAAAATTTATAAAAATAACTATCGTTTAATTTCATTTTTCATCATAAGCAAAAAAAAGCATCCTTTATTCCTTTTAATGCTAACTATACTACGGTAGATTTACTCTATGTAGGATATAAATAGATCTTATGTAAATATCAATTTAAATAAATTGTATTATTTAAATATTTTTATAAGTATCTAAGCAAACTATTCTCAATTATTCAGATTACTCTCTCGAAAAAAATTAATCAAAATAAATGAAAGAAAATTTTAATTTTCTCGAAATGCGTGTGTGCATGTGTATATAGTGTATATGTGTGTATAATTATTTATTAATTTCACCTGTTAACTTTAAATTCTTATTTTTTCATTTCCATTTCAACATTCTACTATATTATAATGTGACAAACATATGAAATAAAAGAAAATTCGTTTTAGAATATGTTTGTAAAAGGACAGATGTTAAAACAGGAAGAAAGAAAAAAATTAATTTAATTGTACAAAATCATTATCTGATAACGAAATTAAGAAAATTAATTTTGATAATATAATTTATGATATTTTGTTAGATATGATAATTGGATTTATTATATTTATTTATTGTATTGTTTAGTCTTCGTAGAGTTCAATTAATATCGGAAATTTTACTATCTATCAAGGAATATAATGGAAAATTATATAAGTTCTCTTTTCAATTCACCTGCTTCTGGCAGCATGATGCGCCATTATTAGGCTCTGTTTATTTTCGTTTACCAAGGACAAAACGTAATCACTAGACGTTATTAAACCGCCGTTCTCGGTAATCAGATTTTTGGAAATCATTATATCATCGGGTTTTACGCCACGACAACAATCATCAACGACGGCTAACCGATAACCATATCGTAAACCATTCAGACATGTCTCTTTCACGCATACATCATAAGCTATACCGCAAACATATAAATGCGTGCAACGAATATTCGACAAAATTTTTACAAGCTCTGAGATACCATCAGTATCCTTTTCTCCAAATGCTGAATATGAGTCTTTGTCAGAATGCCAACCTTTACGCACCTAACATAAAGAAGAGAAGAGAATATTTAAGCATAATAAGATAATAGATAAGATTATCTCTATAGTTATATAAAATATTTAAAAAATTATATACAAGGACACAAATCTTTTATGAAAAATAATTTGCAAATATTAAAAAATGATTAGCTTTTAGAAGTTTATATTAATGAAAATATCTACAATTATTTTAACAATTAGCAAATTAATTTTTTCACGAATTAAAAAGTTTTAAATAAAATATAGAACATATAAATATTTAGTAATATTTTTATTCTTTCAGACAACAATAATCTTTTCCGTGAAATTAATCTTTTCCGTGAATTAACTTATTACCAGTTCAGAAGAAGGTACGATCAGTAAATCTTTATGCAAATCGGCGCCCCAGGTGTTCATAACGCAATGTCTTGGCCAAAGTATTTGCGTTATATGAGGTTGCAAAAAAACGATGGTATCAAAAGGTTTTGCCATTTTCTTAGTAATCTATTTCAAATTCATTATAAAAAAATAAGAGATATTATAAAAAAATAAGAGATATTATTTTAGATTGTTATCTAAATTCACCCATAATAAAAAATTAAACTTATTAGCTAAACCATATAACAAAACAAAAATATTCCTTAAGAATTGTTTGAAATTTTTCTTTAAATGTTTTTATAAAACTACAGTGATTTCGTTTTATTTTGAAATGTAAAAAGAATGATTTTGTATAAAATCTTTTGAGTAAACTCTTTTGAGTAAACTCTATTAATATATGAAAAAAAAATAGATAATATTTTATACAATATTTGAAAAATTAAATTAAACTAAATTAAACTAAAACACACACGCATATACGTGCCATATACACAAACACAATATAAAATATAAAATATGTTTCTTTTTATTTTATTCTTAGAATTATTATCTCAATTAAAACGTTTGATTATTTCATTTAATTGTATTACCTTAGATTCGGGATGAAGTTCGCGCATTGCCAAATTGTCAAAAAAGCTGATATGATCCTCGGGATGCCAATCCTGCGAATATATTACCTTATTCCAATGACCGTCTTTTAAAAGTCGATTTATCGGTTCTACTACTTCTACTCCGTCTTGCCCATAGCCGCATTTTCGAAGAGCCAATGTGCCATCAATGAAATCGTTTTGAACGTCGACGATCAATAAAACATTTACGGGATATACCATCGCATGTATCCATTCATAGCATCTGCGCAACAGGATTTCATTATGAAAAAGAATACGAACTTTCTCTAAATAATGCATATTTGATTCCTTATTATTCACACAAAATAAAATGTTAGTCAGAAAACTTGAAATTCCAGAAATATTATATTATTATATACATATCATTTATGACATTGATTTATTTCATAGAAGTCAATATCATACACACATCACGTATGATATTGATCCATAATGTTAAATATCAAAATTTGACATTTACATATATTCTTATTTAATATTTAAAAATTCATATGATATAAAAGAACGTTTATGGCATCATATTGAGATAAGGAGAAAAAAGAAATATTATTTTATTGAAATTATTACTGAATTTGCATTATGTCAACGTTACATATAAGGAGTAATTGGCATTTCAAATTGCACCAGCATAATTATACGCGATAATAAAATATTATAAAGCCGATAGTCAAATAAGAGGCGGGGGGGGGGGGGGGAAGAAGACTAGTCGCTGTATAAATCTATACTTTTATACTTAAACAGTTTTTTAACTATGACTTCTAACTGTAATTATTATAGTGTATTTGCGCTAAAAATATATATTCTATTTTTACGTTTAATCTCTGTTTTTAATCTCTGTTTTTCAAGATATACATTGATTAAATAGTTATCGTGCGAATAAATAAATATCATATCTTTGAGATATCTTTAAATTAAATATATTTAAGAAATAGCAAAAAATCTGTTTTTTTTCTCCAATTTTATTTTCTTAAATGTTGTTCTTTTTCATGTTTCTATCTCCTTCATTCGTGTTATGTCCTCACCCCACCTCGAATTTATTCTTTCTTCATAGGAGGGATGATGTTGCGCACGCACCTGTATAAATCCTGCTCGTTCAACGTACCGTCTCTATCCACGTCGAATAGCTCGAAAATCTCTCGTACTCGCCACTCGTGCTCTTTGACCTCGTCCGTGCCAAATAAATGGGCGCAAAGCGTTTGAAACTCCATATAGTTCAACATTCCATCGGCGTCGACATCGAAATTCGATAGAATCGTTGCTGGAGATGCCCAAATATCTTTCTTCGTCTGAGCCATGTTTGTCATGTTCTTTCACGTGTCACTTTGTATTCCTCGTTTATTTATATCGTAACGAGTATGCCGCTTTGAGCACTAGGAACCGATTGTCGTTTCTTTCGCTCGTAGCCAGGTGGTCAGGTAAATACATCGATCGATGCTGCCATTACTGCCAGACTGCCTACCACGTCGCCACGGAAAATGTTTGTAAATCTGTCCGCAGGAGTGAGGGAGGCCTTTTGTGTCTCTACAACACAAAAAATCTCTTTAATCTCTCATTTGTTGTTGAAGAAAATATTCCTGCTTCTCGAAAAAAATTTCTATTATATATAAATTTTATTTTCATTCTATTTATATTTTTTTTAATTTTTATTCCATTCAAAATTTCTAAATCTTCTCTACTTATTTTCTTTTCCTTCTATCATGAAATTATTTAATAAATTATTTTTTTAAATATATAAATATTCCTGAGAGAAAAATAAAATATATGTAAATTTTAATAAAAATTTTCTATTCTAAAAGCGAGAGAGAACAAATTTATGTCACTTTATATGATAAGGATATAGTAAAGCTATTATATTAATATAAGAAACATCATTTTATAATAATCTTTGTATATATATATATATATATATATATATATATATATATATACATGTACATACATGTGTCTATTAATTATAAATATTCTGTATCATACATGTAATTTTATTAATTGTAAAGTTATACTATATTTAAACTAAAATTGGCCCTTAAAATATCTAAAAAAAGAAAACATTAACATGTTTTAATTATTATATCAATTACATATTAATGAATTATCTTTTCGTAATCATTAAATTTGCTAAATATTTTAAATAAGAACTTTGAAGATTAAAACTTAAATTTTATTGGAGTGTGTTTATTGCTTTTTAAAATATCGTAACTAATAAAAACTATAATTTTTTTTCAATTTATAAGTAGATTAATATACAATGCGTGAATGTTCTATGAAGCTTAAACAATACTTCAAAGTCAATATTGTTTCTGATAATAAATACAATAATTATGTGATATTTAGTTTTTAATACGCATAAAATTTATAAATAAAAAAGTTAAAAATAAATAGTAAATAATTTTTTTTGCATCAGTAAATGCTTGAAATGTTATCCTTTTATGTAAAGATCTATTTACTAAACTTAATGATTGTTAATTTGTTTCAAATATTTTTAATATATTCGCGAATTATTGCAAAACTTTTAATATGACGAATAAATTGTTTGATAAAGTACTTTTCTAACATTTATTTTTAGCACTTTTCTTTTAGCTATTTCTATAATATACTTTAAAAATTCAGATCATAAAATATTCGCACCTAGATTTAAATTCACCATACATTTTTTTATTACATACTTCAGAGATTTAAGCCAATCACACCAGTAATGAGATAATTCTTCGTAATAGTATGTAGCACAATTGCAATATGCTTTTTATCATAATTCTTTGTATCAGAATGACAATCTGCTCTTCCTATGTAAAGGTCTTTTTTATATTTCCTTCCTACCTTTATCCGACATACATTATCTTGTTTTATTTGTTTTGTTTACTAAAATTTGTTATTGATATCAGATAAAATAATTTATTATTTTTATAATATGTTCCCCCTTTATAATATATTTTTTTAATTTATTATATTTTTTAATATATGTATATAATTTAAATTTTCCCAGCAGTTTATAAAACGAAAGGGAGACGATGATAAAAATAAGACAAAAATTAAAGCGAATGAATGAGAATAAGAAATCAAAGTTTATGAGCGCTAACAGATGTCAACCAGATGGTCAGACTCATTCAGGTAAGAACGTTCGCTTGCTCGAAAAATGGTAAGAATGAGTCACAAGTAGTGTCATAATAAAATAAAAAATTGTTCATAAAGATCATATGTGTCGAAATAAATAGTTCTTTTTATGTATTATTAATCGCGTTTAACAATGTAGATTTTACGGAAAAAGATTAAAATTTAAAAAATGCGCTGTTTTTCAATGTCATAATTTAATATGATTACAGTAAGAAACCACGAATTATATTAACATATGAATCAGGTATTTTTTGTTCAAAAATTCGAATTAATTATAATATATATATATGCATTTTTTGCACATATAATCATATTCCTCTCTCTCTTTAATATATATTGAAAATATATATTAAATATAATACAACAAATATAATACAACTAAATTGCCACCAATCAAATCTGCAAATTTTGCTGTAACAAATTGTTTTGCCATAACAGTAAAAGAAATATAAAATATTTTTACTACAAATAAATTATTTGGTGAAATAATTAGAAAATCTATTAATGTATATATTAAATTATTTATGTTTTAATAATCTTTCTGATTACTATCAATTAGTTCAATTAGTTTCAATTATCTTCTCTATAATTGTTATTTTTCTTAATAAATTGATCTATATTCTAAAGCTAATATATAAATCTATTTGTAAATATAAATAATTAATAAACATAAATGAATATTGATATATATATATCAAATATATATCATGAATTATTAGATATACACATTAGATGTGTTCTAGATGTAAGATTTTATATTATGTGTACATATCAATTATAAGGTGTGTTAATACAGTTAGAAATTATGATTAAACAACCATTTCCATACATAAATAAATTAATCTAATCTTCAATACAGTATATTATACATATTATTACATAAAAGGCAATTTTACAAATATTTTAATATTTAAATTTTTAAAATTATTTGACAATGTAATGCAAACATTAATAATATATAATGGTTTGAATTTATACTAGAACAAATAAGTTTTAAAACGATAAGTTCGCTTAGACCAAAATTTTGTTATAAATATCCACTATTATATAATTAACTTTGTTATAAAAAAAATAAGAGATATAGAAAAATTATAAATATTTGTGAATGTTTGAAAAAGACATGTATTAAAATAAATCATTAAACTTATATATAATATATAAAAACAATTTCACAACAGTTTTAAAAAAGGAGATTAAAGCATAATGAGATGAAAATATATAATTTAACATTTTTATCTCTAAATATAAATTCTAATTAAAAATTCAGTATAATCACTTTATTAAAATTATAAAGAACAATTGTAAAAAAAATTGAAAACGCACATATATGTCTTTTAATATAAAGGCAGTGTTTATTCGTTTCTCTTTGATGCTATAAACTGCACATAAAAATAACTACACATGAAATATTTAGTCTGTATCTATGCATGTATATATATTAGAACTTTTTCTCTTTGTGAACTATAGTATTTAAAAAATAATATTTGGTAATTGCTTTTTTTGTGTTTAAATATCGATCAATAAATAATATAAATGAAATATACAAGTATGCACGTTATAATATTATATTCATAGTACTAGTGTACTAGTATTTTACTCGTATATTAGCATTTTATACTCTAACATTTAAGTATGTGACATTTAATACATTAAAAGTCAAGAGAAAAAATATATCATATACATAAATTCTTTATATAATTTATAAACTGTGCAATAAATTTCAACTTAAGTAATCAATTATTAAATTATTTATACCTGTTATACTTATAAAAATTGTACACACTAAAAATTAATAATCACTTGTATTATAAAATATAAAGTATATTAAAATACAAATTTTAACGCGCGCGATATAACATAAAATACCATTTGAGCTATCTGGAAGCTCGCTCTTCCAGTTTTCCATTCGTAGAATATAATTTTTGTTATTTTGTAACATTTGAATTACGATTTAATAACTTGTCTCTTTCCTCCGTTATGTCAATGGCAATTTTATTGATAAAAGGATGTCTAATTTTACCCTGAATTGCGACAAAGAACTCATTAAGTTCTCCTGGAATGTTGTCTCTTTTCTCATATTCATATGCTTGCATTAGCAAGTCTAGTCTATCTAAGTCTTTCACATACTGTGCTTCTGCAGATTCTTGCTTTTCATATTCCTGAATATTAGAAAACAGGTTTATAAATATAATATAGAAATAAAAGATAGAGATTAATAAATAAATATTAATAAAATTAAGAAAAAAAATCCTGAAAAAAAATTTATGTAATAAATTTTCTTACACGAAATATTTGCAGTATCTCAGGTCCCTTATCATCCAGCAGTTTACAGATATCCTCCATAGCTTTATCTTCCATCATATGCTTTTCATCTGGTGGTATACCACAAAGAGGTGTTATATCTCCGACGATACATTCAGCTAGGTCATGAATTAACGTCATTTGCATTATTCTGCAAATTAAAAAATTATAACGTTTTTTTTGTTTTAATGCATTACATAATAAAAATGAACTATTTAATTTATAAAAGTAATTATAATATTTTATATCTTAATGGTAAAAAATATTTTTATCTTACTTAGTTTTATCTAAGTTTTCTTTTCCATCTACTAGAAAAGATAACATTGCCATTCGATACATATGTCCAGCAATTGTTTCAGGATCAGGTATATTCCGTTTGACCCATCCTGTCCTTTTCATATGCTGAAAACAAAGGCAAAAGAAGATACATGAAGACATTTTATTTGTACTTGTCTGTTTAGAATTTCAAAAGTATACATTTTTATATAAATACAGCAAAAATAGAAAAAAAGTAATGCACAAATATAATAAAATATTATTGATAGAAAACATTACAAATTAGTTTTTTTTCTAGATAAAAATTTCTTTGCCAAAATGTTATCTTTTTTTCCTTATTTACATATATTTTCATTATTTATTTTTTAAAGACTTAATACCAATAATAATACAGGGCTATTACAATGACTTTCAAAATTGAGAACTGTTGACACTTCGAGAATGTGAAATATAACATTCATAGCAAAATTAAAATAGCACCAAAAGAAACACACATTGTTCCTATAATTATGAAGAACACGTGAAGTATTATATAATCCAATTTGTATGTACTTCTTATCGCAAAACAATATTAATACACAAATAAGGAAACGAAAGACTTTTGGCAGGTGACAATACACAAATGAAAGACACATGATATCGAGGAATTATTCCTTTGAAACAGGAGGCTTTTTCTCTCTTTCATTCAAATTCTGTTTCTGCAAAATCTTTCAAATAATTGGCATAGCAAAAGAGTGAATTTCATCAACTCTTGAACATCAACTCTTTTGATTGTATGTTTGATTGTGTTATATACTGCTAATATTACAAGATTGTTTTGAAATATATGTAAAAAAATGCATTTTCAATAATTGGCAAGTTTAGCATCTGTCTCACCTTTAACCGTCCGACTAGCTCCATGAATTCTTGCAGCTTCTTCGTGTCCTGCATTGCGATCGACTGTGAAAATCTGTACTGTTTTGTATCTAATCTTTATTCAATAACTGCTATACTCAATAACGCTATCTGTTGCTTGATATTTGATACGAGAATGACACAGACTGAAAAATATGCGGCGGGAAGAAAGCAGTCTGAAGCAGTCAGTGTCAGTGATTATCGCGATACGCAGATGTTGATTATTTCCCTAGTCGCTTTCAGAGATACGTTCGGAAACGTTATTTGATTTACTCTATGAGTAGGATCAGTAGGATTTTCGAACACACTGAGTGATGTAATAGTATAAATATAAATATAGATTATCAAAATTTTTTGGTTGCGTTGAAATTGGAAAAAGAAAAAAAGCTTTAAGGGATCTATTCTTCTAATTTTAAATATAAGAGGGAATATTATAAGAGCTCATAAAAAATATATTTATGAGGGAGATATATATCTATACAATTAAATTTAAAATTAAATTTACAATCTACATTTACATCTACAATTAAGTTTAAAAACTCTAATTGAATTTTAAAAAAACAAAGATCCACGCAGTCTACACTTCCTACAATGCCTATGAATTTAATAAGGATAAGTGGTACTTTGAATTTAGGAAATTAAATGACGCATTTATATATATATATATATATATATATATATATATATATATATATATATATATATATATATATACTAGACAAAGGTAATCTCTTAAACAATATCTGTTGAACGAAAAATGATCGTACGCTCAGCTAGAAGTCAATTTTATGAATGTTGAATGTCGAATAAAGTCGGTCTCCAAGTAAAAATGAAATGCATACGCGAGAAACAAATGGTGAATACCCGATTTTTTTTAGAGAATTTAGTAGTATTAAAAAATATCATAAGTATGACTAAAAGTGCTCTTTCAATGACTAAATAAAGCTTTAAGCTCCATCATATTATCAGTCAGACAGAGCTTAAAGCTTTATTTAGTCATTGATATATATATATTTAGTCATTGATATATATATATAAAGTACTTTAAAATACGTTTAAAGGTGCTCTTTCATTGACTAAATAAAGCTTTAAGCTCCATCATATTATCCGTCAGGTCTGATAGAGCTTACAGCTTTATTTAGTCATTGAAAGAGCACCTTTAGTCATACTTACAATATTTTTTACTACTGAATCCTGTAAAAAAATCGGGTATTCACCGTTGTTTCTCGCGTACTACAGAATCCTGTAAAAAAATCGGGTATTCACCATTATTTCTCGCGTATGCATTTCATTTTTACTTGGAGACTGACTTTATTCGACATTCAACGTTCATAAAGTTGACTTCCAGCTGAGCGTACGATCATTTTTCGTTCAACAGATATTGTTTAAGAGATTGCCTTTGTCTAGTCGGTGTGCCAGTTTAAATCGTAGAAGAAGAAACAATTGTGTTAAAACATAAAAAAATAAAAAAGAGGTAATGAAAATATTTTCTGTCTCATTCTATGTTTTATGTAATCATTTCGCTAAATTGAGAATCTTATCTTTAATTAATATCATCATAATTAATATCATAATTATCTGTACTTTTAATTATAAAAATAGAATATACTGACAATATATGAAATGTCAAGAATCTTTTCATTCATATCGATTGGTAGAAGATAATTTATTATTAATTACAGAGATTATTGTGGATTATCTTCAATAAATTGGAAGTAGTGAAATATATGATAACAGCCACTCCAAATGATAAGCGCGAAAAATTATGATATTCAGAATGATAATAACGTGCTTCAATTAAATTAGGAATGTTGCGATTCAATATCATAATATTACTAACATTACTTAAACATTTCATGTATATAGCATTAGCATTAACATTAGCATAAAATAGTATGAGCTGTCATTTTGCGAGGTTAAGAAAATGAGATGATGTCATCTCATTAATTAAAGTAGAATGCGTAAATGTCATACGTATTTTGACAGATTTATAAAAATATATACAGATAACGAAATATTTAAAAGGCAAAGACTTTTAAATGTTAATCGGTCAATAAATAATCCTACAATTTCTAATTTGATATAAATTGATAACTTATTTTGATTGAAATCACATTAAACAGATTAATAATTAATATAATTTTATTTACAGAAAAGAGTCTGTACATTTTTTATATCTTCTAAAGAAAGGATTTTGAATACAATGGCTGCAAATAATGAAATGGCTACAAATACACTTTGGGTAAGTTTTTGATTTTAGAGCATATAATCTTATATCGAAATGCTTATCAATTTGGAATCATTATCTTAATATTATTAATCATAGTTTACTTGTATTTATCTTTCTAAACAATTTTTAGAATTTAAAATTAACTAATGCTAAACAAATTAGTTTTTTGATCTTATTTTTTTTAATTTACTTAACAGAGATATAAAAATATTATATATATATATATATATATATATATATATATATATTTATTTATTTTTCAGGAAGAAATGAAAAATTTTGCTATTGAACAGCAACAATGCTTTTATGAATTACTTCTTGAGTGCACAGCGTATAAATCTGACGAACATGAAATCCTGAAAAAAAATATTGGCTATGCTATTTATGGATTACCAACGAGCAATGAGAATGAAAGTACAATAGAAAGTAATAAGAAATCAGAAGATTCAAGTGATATAGATGCAAATATAGTTGACACAATAAATTACGATGAAAAAGCTAAAAAAGTCATAGATATATTATATAATAAAATATGTAAATATACGATAGGAACTAATATGACTCAACCAATTTACTTTGGTATAATTTATAATGTGATATTTTCTCCTAAGATAAATGTAAACCCAAAGGAAGAAAAAGAAGTAAAAAAGGAAGAGAATAAAGAAACAAATAAAAAAACAGAAATAAAAGAACCAGTAAAAGAAGAAGAAAAAGAGTTTCCAGTATTGTCTATCCCAATTTTTACAATCAGAAGAAATATTGAGGAAAAATCCACACTAAAAAATTTAAAACAAGAAGAAAACATAAAAACCGAAAATAAAGCAGATTATGAGATATGGTACATTGATATTGGTGGCAGAGTGTATAAGAGTTGGAGAGATTATGTAGAAAACAATAACTTACCAAAATGTACTATGGTTCTTCCTAAAGATGGCCTTTATCAAGCAGATGTATCCTATCCAGTAACAGAAGACTATTCCACAGTTTGGGTGGAAATCATAGAATCTCCTGCATGCACATTAGCATCAGCAATCTGTAATGGAGTGGATATTGTTTCTAGTATTGCTGGATTAGGTGTAGCTGGTTTATCTGCTGTAGGAATGGTTACACCTCTTGCACCAGTTGTTGTTATAACAGGTAAATTGTCATGGAATATAGTTGATGTAATATCAATTTATCATATATATTAAGCATTGATTATGTAAATTTTATAATTTATTGTTTCTTTGATCAACATGTAATAATATATATGAATTTATAGGAATATTATATTTTATTTTTTAAACATATTCTACAATATGTATTATAGGTATTGCTGCTGCTGGTATAAGCAGTATTTGGACAATTGGCAGATCTTCTCAGCAACTGGTAGATCGTGCAATCCATGAGGAATCTAATTTGGATAAAGAGGCTTTACCTCATTGGCTTAGTATATTTGGTACAACATTTGGTTTAGCAGCGGTTGGAGGATCAGCTGCTCTATCCAGGGCTGTTGGACAAGGTAAAACAATACCCACCTTCGTGAAAGCAGTATTTAATACTGTGCAAGGTGGCAATATAGTGTTCAATGGTGCTGGTGTTATATATCAAGGTTACGATATAGTAGATAAATATATGACGGAGAGTCAGATTGATCGTGTAGGCATGTTAAATTTTGCGATACATGTTATGTTTTTTGCTAGCACTGTAGTAAAGATTCAATTCGCCAATGATATCATTAACAATACCCAAGTTAAAATCATCAATGATTACAAAGAAACTTTACGTAAGAAAAATCTCCGTAAGAAATTTAATCGCGTTGCGCGAAAAGCTGCTGCGAATAATACATGTAAGATATCCGAAAACGCGGATGTGATAAACTACATAAGACATCGCGAACAGATATCTGCTAATCAATCTGTTAATCAGTCTGCTAATCAACCTGTTAATCAGTCTGTTACTCATGGTCAAATAAACAATATTCAAAGTCATATTGTATGGTCATACGAACAGGGTAAATTGAAAGTCAATGGTGTTATATTATTCGAACCTATTGAATATGTTGTTCGTCTCATGAAGTCGGATATATTTAATGAAATTCGACAAAATAATCCATCTTCACAGAACAATGGCGATAATGATATCGCTGATTCATTAAAAGAAGTATTTTCTGATTTATTAAGCAAGTTCTACGCGAGTGATGCTTGTCCCAAGAGCAAAAATTTGCCATTGCTTCCTGACTTTGAACCACTTCTTAAAGATATGAGTTCTGTGAGAATCAATACAAAATCTCTGAAAAAATTGTTTATCATCGTTGAAAAATTAATGAGACGTTCTAGAAACAAAGACGATTTTTTATTCATGGCTTTTATCCTTGTTTGGCAATATTGTAAAGCAAACTTAGAAAAATGGGGTATATATACAAAAGATCGCATCCAAAGCAATTCAGGCTCCGACATTTTACAAAGGATCATTATTACTGCTGTTTGGGAAGCTATTGATATGATACTTGATAATCTTTGTAGTGCCTTTGTAAGATATATAGAAATTAACTTGATAATGCAGGTAAATTGAGTGTAGAAAACTCTAATACAGAAAATAAAAATTAGAACTAATGCACATAATAATCTTGTGGAAATAAGCAATTTTATAGAAACATATTATATAAAATAATCGATTAATAGAAGTTTTCAGTTTTTTAAAATAAAGCATTGCCTTCTTTTTAGTAGAATTTGACATACAGATATACTGATACACATTGTGCCTTGAACTATGAGAGATGTCAGAGTTTTATCTATATATTTATAAATTATGTATATTAAATATATATTATCACCTATATATATATATATATTATATGGTATATTATATGGTATATTATAATATATATTATCACCTTTATATATATTAACAATTTTATGTTATATTTAAATGAGAATTATGTTAATTTTGAAAATTTATAGATTATATATATATATATATATATATATATATATATGTATATAGTTTTTAATATTTTTATTTGCCATAAATATCATTTAATATTATATAATCATAAAGAAATAAATATTTAAAACAAGAAATATGTATTTTATATATTTTATATATATATATTGAACTCTTTCAGCTTAAATTCCTCTAAAAAATATATTCATTCATTGTGCCTTGTATTTGAATTTATTATATTTATAGATTATGTATAATTGTATTGTGAGAAATTATAAAGCAATAAATTGTAAATTATAAAATAAAAAAATTTTTCTAGTTATATATATATATATATATATATATATATATATATATATATATCATTACTTGTTTTTTAAATTTATCGTCAAGAATAATATTGCTTTCTAATAACATACATTATTCTATCAACTTAATTAATATATTACCTATAATTCTTTGGAGAATATAACACGAATTTGTAAGAATATACTATGACTAAAAAGATAATTATATTACACATTATATACAAAATAATTTAATTTCATCGAATTTACTTCCTCTTTACAAGAACGCGAAAATCTAAAATGCTTCATCGCCGTAACAGCTGTAATTTTCATGTGAACTTATCTTAATATGGCGCGTGCGCCTGATAATTGAGGATCGGCACGCGATCAGTCAGCTGACCTGTCTTGTGATAGCTAGGCTGGACTCCGTGAGAGAGGCACGTATTCACGTCGGTGGCTGGACTGCTCTTGAGAACATCGCATCTCATCGGTGAGTATCACGTCGAGTCGGTCGCGTCGAAGCTCGACGATGACCCCGTCCTCTCGGTAATCCGGGTGGATTTTCGATCCGCGGAAATTCGCACGATCGAACGAGCCTCGGCGCGTGTAAGTGATATCGATCCAATGTGCCGCTCTGTGTGCGCCATCGTTTCTCCCAATCGAGCGCGAATCCGCGAATTTTCGGCAGATTTTCGGCGACGACGCATCTCGATCATCCGGCGACTCGTACGACAACTTTCGCGGCCGTCTACGAGAAAAATACTCCGTTCCCTTGTCTAGCAGACGGCTCGCAGGCTTCGCGGGGCTACGCCTATTTTTTTGAATGACCTGCTCACGTGAATCGTAGCCAGCGTGTGACAGCTGTACTTTTCCGAAGGTCTGGCTTCCGCGAAGCGGCTCGAAGGCTCGCTCGTCATAAATAATAATCCGGAGATTCCGGATCAATGAATTTATTCTTCTTTACGTTTGCCTCTTTTCTTATATGTCAATTATTTTAATCAATCTAATGAGCTATACAGCTCGTTTCTTCCTCCCTTCTCCTTCTCCCTCTCTTTCTCTGTCTCTGTTGAGCGCGAAAATACAAGTAGTTTGTCGATTTTCCTCTGCATCGACTGTTTAATTAACTTTTTCTCTTGTCTGCCTGAAAAATTTATGTACATCTTATTTTAAAGATGTAAAAAAAATATAATTAAAAGGAGCATAATTATAATTACCTGCATGTGTTTATTCTCAAAATTTGATAATTTTCCAATTCTGTCATCTGCAAGAAAAGAAATTAATAAATACACAAAGATTGCTAAACTATTTTTCTTTTTCAGATAAATTAAGATAATCATTCAAGATGACGAATCAAAGTTTGGCTAAGATTGCGCATGAGGAGCGGGAGGGCAAGTTTGGATATGTCTATGCAGTATCCGGTCCTGGTTAGTTCTCATGCTACATAAATTTTCTTCTATATAACACACATATATTTATGTATGTTTCTTGTTACAGTCGTTACCGCTGAGAAAATGTCTGGGTCAGCTATGTACGAGCTGGTGCGAGTCGGCTACTATGAATTAGTAGGAGAAATTATCAGATTGGAAGGTGATATGGCTACGATACAGGTACATATAAACATCCAGACGTGCGCATTTGAATCTTGGAGTATCAAGATAGTTTAAATAATTCCACAATATATTTTTAGGTATACGAAGAGACAAGTGGTGTGACAGTTGGTGATCCCGTACTTCGCACTGGAAAGCCATTATCTGTCGAATTGGGTCCCGGTATCCTTGGCAGCATCTTTGACGGTATTCAACGTCCGTTGAAAGATATCAATGAGCTTACAAGCTCGATCTACATCCCGAAGGGTGTCAATGTACCGGCACTCTCGCGTACTGCTTCCTGGGAATTCAATCCGCACAATATAAAAAACGGCAGCCACATCACAGGCGGTGACATGTATGGCGTTGTACATGAGAATACCTTAGTAAAGCATTGGATGATCCTGCCACCTAAATGCAAAGGCACTGTTACATATATTGCGCCGGCTGGCAATTATACAGTTGATGTAAGATTATATTTCTCACATGATATCTTATTCTCTCTATGCTTTGTATCATATAAATTTATTTAAATATTGTGTATATCTTTAGGACGTCGTACTGGAGACTGAATTTGATGGCGAGAGGCAGAAATATACCATGCTTCAGGTACGAAATTCACTTCTGTAGCAAACACATATATATGTGAGAGTTTTGAATGTGTATTGTGCATGTTGTGAATTTATGGTTACATGCATGCAGGTGTGGCCAGTCCGTCAACCTCGTCCAGTCACTGAAAAATTGCCAGCTAATCATCCTCTACTCACTGGCCAACGAGTCTTGGACTCTCTCTTCCCGTAAGAATATTTGTCTTTGAGTGTCAAAGCACGTGTTATGAAACGTATCTAGAAATGTTTAGAATATATGTGTTTCAGATGCGTTCAAGGTGGAACCACGGCTATTCCCGGTGCTTTTGGTTGCGGCAAAACGGTCATTTCGCAAGCCTTGTCCAAATACTCTAACTCTGATGTCATTATTTACGTCGGTTGTGGAGAACGTGGTAACGAAATGTCTGAGGTACTACGTGACTTTCCTGAATTGACTGTGGAGATTGATGGTGTTACCGAGTCCATTATGAAACGTACCGCTTTGGTCGCTAATACATCCAACATGCCTGTGGCTGCGCGTGAAGCGTCCATTTATACAGGTATACAATATGTTATTAAAGAAAAATCATATATCACAATTCAATAACAATGTTATAAATATATAAAACTGTGCATATATTATTTAATAAGTAATCTATCCATTATTTATTGTACATAGGTATTACTTTATCCGAATACTTTCGAGATATGGGTTACAATGTGTCGATGATGGCGGACTCGACATCTCGTTGGGCCGAAGCTCTCCGAGAAATCTCAGGTCGTTTGGCTGAAATGCCTGCTGATTCTGGTTACCCTGCTTATCTCGGTGCTCGTCTAGCCAGCTTTTACGAACGTGCCGGAAGGTACACAATATTATTTTATATTATATATATATAATATAATCTCAATCTTTCCATATAATATTAATCTTTCCTCCCTGGAAATATCAAAAAAATTTAATATAGTTAATTATTTAGTTAACTATAATTAACTAAATAATTAAGTATATTATATCCTTACTGATATTATCTCTAGCTAATTAGATAGTATATTATATAATATATATTACTTTATAATTTACTTACAATCTTATGAGAGATTTATATGAAAAAATTGAGATAGCATTTTGATAATATGCGATTGTACAAGTAAAATATTGGATTTTAATTTTTAGAGTCAAATGTTTGGGAAATCCAGATCGTGAAGGATCCGTTAGTATCGTTGGTGCTGTATCACCACCAGGTGGTGATTTCTCTGATCCTGTGACTAGCGCGACACTCGGTATTGTACAGGTACAAACGATATTTGTGTGAATATATAAATAATACATAAGATAAATTGAGGGATTTTTTAACAAATTATTTAATTTACAGGTGTTTTGGGGATTAGATAAGAAACTTGCACAACGTAAACACTTCCCATCTATCAATTGGCTGATATCATATAGCAAGTATTTGCGAGCATTGGATGATTTCTATGATAAGAACTTCCCAGAATTCGTCCCGCTGAGAACGAAAGTTAAGGAAATCTTGCAAGAAGAGGAAGATCTGTCGGAAATCGTCCAGTTGGTAGGCAAGGCCTCACTCGCCGAAACAGATAAAATCACGCTTGAAGTAGCAAAATTGTTAAAGGATGATTTCTTGCAACAAAACAGGTATAATATGTTTCTTCTTACGATATTTTTTTTATCAAAATGTATGCGAACTTAAATATATATATATATATGTTGATTCAAAGAATTTTTTAATTTTTTTTAATTTTTTTCATGTTATAGCTATTCGCCGTACGATCGCTTTTGTCCATTCTACAAAACTGTGGGAATGTTACGAAATATGATTGCTTTCTATGATATGGCGAGACATGCGGTCGAATCAACAGCGCAATCAGATAATAAAATAACGTGGAATGTCATTAGGGACAGTATGGGCAATATTCTTTATCAATTAAGTTCTATGAAATTCAAGGTGGATAATTTTCAATATTATTGTATTAATATAAATTTAGCTTATGTCTCATAACTTCAATATATTTTTTTTCTTATAAAAATTTGCTTTAAATTTTCAGGATCCTGTCAAGGATGGCGAAGCAAAAATTAGGTCGGACTTTGATCAATTACATGAGGACATACAACAGGCATTCAGGAATTTAGAAGATTAAATTTCTATCTTGTAACTTGTTAAAAGCAATTTTAAGATATTGATTGTTCTATATCTTGGTCCTAACATTTAAGGATGTCCCGGTCTAGCTCGTGAATTGCAGATAACTTGCCGAAAATATGCATATAGCAGTGTTATCGATTATACAATATATTATTTAGCATCATCCTTGAAAGCAAATGAATTGTAAATAGAAAAGTTGCGTTGAATTCTCAGATATTACCTTGCAGTGAAATATCGTTCGAGACAATGCCATGTCATGTACATGATGATTGAGACAATAAAGTGGGACATTCTTAAATGCTTAAAACGTACATTTAAAAATACACTCCGTGTGTTCGAGAGTTAACTTGACTCAAAATCCGCGAGAGTTTTATTTGTAATTAATCGGATATTATCAGAGAAAGTAATTTTACCCTTTGCAAAAATGTACTTTCGTCTTGTTCGCTTTGTTAAAGGTGCAAATACCAGGAAGTTAATATTCCTATATGTTTTCTGTGTATGTGTAATATAAACAAAAATTATATAAAACGGCTTTTCCCGTTTCATTCTAACGCGCGCAGATTAGAATTATTGTTATGAAAAGATACTCTCCTAATAATCGATCACGAGGCACGTGGATGACACGGTAACTCTTACCTTGCAAGAGATTGAATCGTGAAATATATTAAATATTGTAACATATATATACATTATAATGTATATTAAGTATTGTAACTATTTAAGAAAAATGCGATAGATAATAATCGCAACTGTTACACATAATTAAGCATATTATACTTTAACAATGAAGCGTTACAAATATAATTGCATAATTTGAAAGTTTAGAAAAGAACACACACATGATAGATTAGATAAGTGATTAAGGTGCAGAATCTTCAATAGTGAAGATAAATACGAGAGAAATAAGAATGTGTCTGCACGACTAGTGTTCCATTGACTTCGATACCATTTCCATTGTATGATATGTAAAAAAAAATACAATAAAAGAATTATGCAAGAATTATACAAAAGGATCATATAAACATATCAGAGATGGATGGTAATATTATTGACTCAATTTCTCTCTGCTTTCTCTCAATAAACTTCGCTCTTTATTAATAATAATTATTATTATATAACAATAAAACCTCGCGGTATGTACATTAACGATATATTACATTCCGATATCTAACGTTTAGTAAATTAATTCAGATGCACCTTTTTTCATAAAATTGTTTTACATATTGAAAAAAATATATTATTGCCATATGCAAGTTTATGCATATGTACACATACATGTGTAATATAATATTACAATATAACACTTGTATGTGTATAATTGATCTATTTTACAATTTGAATTTCCTGATTTATCCTACGAAATATATTCTATAATTATATGAAAACAGTATTAAAAATAAAAAATATATAACGAATTCTGCAGTCATTCGTTCATCGGTGAATTCTTTATATATGTATATATATATATATGAACCAACAAAAATATCTTTTTTCCTCAAACTAATCCTGCGCCTCTATACCACAGTTTCGAATAATTTTTCCGAAACAAAAAAAAAGATGTACCATGTTTTGATATTCACAGCCACGATATTCCAACGTATGCCAGTTTATATTGACCTGTTAAATCTATATATGGTATTTCTATATCTATTCATAAATAAATCTGCCAGATAACTACACAATATAATCATAACTACACAGCTGTAATGATTATGATTTGTATTATTTGATATTATTATTAAACAAAGTACATAGAAATGTCTTCAAAAGTTCTTCAAAAGTCTGAAAAATCATATATTAAGTATAGCATTTTTTTTATACATAAGTTATTTGATATGAATAAATTGATTTTTCAATATTTTCATGTAATTACATTAATATGACATTTCATGTAACAACTTTATTTATATTACATCTTGTGCAGCATACTATTATATAAAATAATTATTGTTTTAATTGTATTACATGCACCCTGATTGAAAACTGTGACTAGAAACTTGTACAAGCTATTCTACAAATTCAAAATTTTATTGTTTTTCAAATGAAAATTATATTATGATACTATTAATGAATTATTAATCTATGAATTGAAACAATATGTTGTCATGAAATTATAAATGTGCAGTTATGATTATACTAGAAGTTCCAGATTTGATTTTGGACAGTAAAATTGAAATGTCTTATTAAATTCAGCGCAGTTATCAAAGAAGAGTATAGAAAATTATATTTTATATGTATCAGACTATTCATACAATCCTAATATTTACAGAGAAAAAAAATCACTGACTTACAAAAGAGGAAGCTTAAGGGCTTAAATGTACAACGTCGACATTAGTGGCCGATGAGGATGATATTTGTGATCTGAGTTGATGATTTTCGCGTTTTAATTGAGTGACTAACTGTTTCAGTGTTGTAATTTCTTGTCGTAATTTCTCATTATCTCGCAGGCATTGACCCAAATTTTGATTAGCCACACGCAATTCCCCTATATATTCACAGGCCTTTGCTAAAATACCTCCTTTGCTCTATTTGCAAACAAATAATGACAAATATTGTTTTATCATAATTATGCAAAACGAAAAATTTAACTTGATTATTTACCTGAGTTTCATAGTTGGTTTTTCCTTCTCCATTGCTGCTAGTACCAGTAGTGTTAGTACTAGCATTGCAATCAGGAATGATCTTACCCAACTTTGTAATCCAATTGTTTATTTTATCTCTACGTCGACGCTCGACTTCATTATGTGTCGCTCTCCTCCTATCGTCTCTCTAAGAAATAAGAACGAAATAAAAAAAATTTAATTTATCATACGCACTATTTTAAGATTATTAAAATAACAATGTATATTAAAAAATAAACCTTTTTCAAGCCACTAGTGCAATTTCTTGGAGTTTCTATTTGCAGCGTGGTTGCTCTTGGCACCAGAGATCTGGATGTTTGCGCAGTAGTAAAGACATCATTGGCATTCCCAATAACATAAAACTGTCCATTTAAAGGTGACGTTAAAACCTGTACAGTATTATTTCCTGGTTGCGACACTGGTAGCTCTATCTCATTGGTTGGCTGTATGGCTGTTGTGCCATTCACTTGGACAACTCGATACGCTAAGGCTTCTTGATAACGCATTTCATCTTCCCCAATAGGCTCCCCTAGCAGACAGATAGAATATATATCTATGAAAATTAATTCTTAATGACAATATAAAATGATAAATCATGGTAAATCAAAATATCGATAACAATATATGTGTTTAAGATTTTTTTCTAGCTGCAGCACATTTTTACCTTCGCAATCCACAATCTCTGCTTCCTCTATAACGATCCCCGTGCCACCACCGTCGTCCTTAACGACGCTGAAAAAATTAAATAATATTTCGATATCATGTCATCCCAATGGATTTGCATGCGCTATGCGTATTACTTCGACGACTGTGTGTGTCGGTCCTACGGCGTAAGTAAGTGCGTACTGTGCACGAAGTGATGATGACCTTGAGGAGACCTCGGGCGAGACGGAAGGGATAGGTGTTCGCGATATCAGGCGGTCGATACTTAACGTAAACGCTACCTGACATCCTGCTGCTCGAGCTGCTGCTCCAAGATGTCCATCCCTCGTCACGGGAAAAAAAAAACGTTTGAATTTGTCAAAATTCACGTGAGCTGGTCACGGGACACCGCAACGAGGTCATGTGGTCGCATAAGATGGCGGCGCGCGTCACACGTGCCATCTAACGTCGCGCCAACTGGATGACGTCGTGTTTTACGCGTCGAACTAATTGTGGAAATTAATTGCAAAAGCTCGATGGAGGAAATTAATTTTCTTTCCAATACAAAAAAAAAGAATGAAAAGGATTTCTCTTAATTTTTTCATCAATTTTCACGATATTTGTTGAACCTTCAATTTGTCCTTTATGTCGCAATTTTAGAACATTTTTTAAATTAAAGATATGAAAAAAAGGAGCTGGATTATATTAATTGCAAGAAATCATTATATACCGTATAATTCTAACGCGATAAATTATATTGAATTGGCACGATTTTAATTGCAAATTTAGCAGAATTGTCACGTGACAGAATAATTTATAGACCTGAATTATAATACTCGGCGTTAAAAAAATTGCGGAAAATGATTCTACATTTTTTCTTGAATTATATTATCATAAAGGAACCCAGGGGAAAGCTTCTCTCTCACGCGTTTATTTATTTTTCATTCTCTTCTCTTTTATATTTGCAACTTTTATTTACAGCTGTATTTTTTTCTAGTTATATAATTTGAAATTTATTTCTTCAATGTGCATATTCGATGTCCTAATCTAATTTTTATCTATTATCTATTATTTATTATCGTACACATATTCGCATAAATATTATAAGATTATTTCATATTCAAATTATCCACGTAAATAAAAGGAACCTCTCGTTCCAATCTCTTCCAATAAAATCGCTCGTCGCCTATTTCGAAACATTCGTCGTTTTGGGCGCGAATTCATCCAGCGTGAACATCATCCATTCCACTCTTCCACATATATGTCGTTTTATTTTTCAGTATTTGCGTTCGTCGGGAAACATCGTGGGTGTAAATTATTGACAGACATCGTGCACTTCCCCTAATCCTCTTTATGCGAAGTAGAAGCGTACAAAGAGGCATTTTAATTGACTCCTGCCGAGATCGTGGAAACCTTCCGGCACACGTTAAAATGACTAGGTAAGGATATGACACGAACTTTCGAAGGTTATGTCCGCTTGCGCAGATTTTTCTACACACGTGTAATATGTAATTGTTAATTTTTACGTTCATCGAATTGCCCGTCGATGTTTCCGGACGAAAATACACCTGAACATTCGCGATCGCGATCTTTTTTGTTTTACGATAATTTGTTTGTGCCATGCCATCCCCCGCCTTCGATCTCTCATCGGGTATTTAATTTATTACAGGTCGAAAATAGAATTAGGCGATGTGACACCGCACAACATTAAGCAGCTCAAATTGCTCAATCAAGTCGTGTTCCCTGTCTCCTATAATGAAAAGTTTTATAAAGATGTATTGGAAGCGGGAGAACTTGCCAAACTAGCATATTACAATGACATAGTGGTAAAAATGATTTTTCTTGAAATGATTTTCCTCTAATATTGTAATCTCCATGATTATTATGATCTGAATAACATGATTATCTATATGATTTAATAAAAAGTTATACGAATGAAATCGGAAAGACATGCTATTATTATATCGATGGATTACTTAAAGTGTTTCTCATATAAAAAAAGAATTGCTTTTTTTGCAATAAAGAAAGTTTGACAGTCAATAATCTAATGTTAAGATTTAATTTAAAGAGAATATGACCTTGTTTTAATTCATATCTGATTTTCAGGTTGGAGCGGTTTGTTGTCGTGTAGATACTTCAGAAAATTCTAGGCGTTTATATATAATGACATTGGGTTGTCTCTATCCTTACAGAAGATTAGGAATTGGCACTGTTATGGTGCAGCATGTTTTAAATTATGTTAACAAGGATGGCAATTTTGATTCTATCTTCCTGTAAGCATGATTTGCAGTTGTTTTATTAGTAATATGCAATTTTAAAAAATTATGTTCTAATTTTACTCGTCCTAATGTTCGCAGACATGTTCAGATAAGCAATGAAGGGGCGATTGACTTTTATAAGAAATTTGGATTTGAAATTGTTGAAACTAAAGAACATTATTACAAGAGAATAGAACCAGCAGACGCGCATGTGTTGCAAAAGACACTGCGTCCCAGAGCAAATCATCAAACGGTCAACTAATAAGTAGCATTTTTCATTAATTTATCTTATAATTTAAAATTTACATACGTTTCCATGTTCTGTCAATAAAATCATTTTATAAAATAAAAACCAGAACAATTCGTTTTATATTACATCCATATACATTAGTTATAATAATTTTAATATAACTTTCTTCATTTATATAGATTCAGTATTATTGTCTTTAACAGAAAATTACTCCAAATTGAGATGCATCTGAATCAAATATCTAAATATATATTCACATAAAATAAGTTATTTAAAAAAGTACAACTCTTTGAAATATTGAATTTTTAGTTTGGTCTTATATAAATTTCGAGAATTTTGGAAAATACATTTCTATAAATTTTAATTAGTACTACTTTTTATCTAAATTTTTTTAATATTATACAATTTTAAATTAAAAGATTTGTGTGTGAAGTATCAGAAAAATATAAGAAATTAACTAAAATTGCAATACAGTTATAACTCCAAGAATTTTTATATAATTTTAACTTTAATTTCCAAGACTTAAAACAGTAACAGAAAATTTTGGTATGAGGAAATGGTATAAATTAGAATTTTTTAATCATTGCAATTCTAAAAACCTTAATCTTATTGTTCTTCATACATTAGAGAAAGATTATAATCTAAAGAAAAGTCCAATTTTGCAATTTCTTTGTATATCTTTATTGTCCATCAATTCTCTTTTCTATTTAGACATATTTAAAAATTTGTACATATTTTTTTTAAATTAAAATTTTCTTAATTATTATTACAATTAAAATAATTGTATGTATATTGAAAATATTTATACAAAAAAATAAATATTGCTTTCTAATTTACATATTAAGAATCATTATATGGAATAAGTATTAGGATGTACATAAAAAATATGCAAAGAAAATTTTGCACAATTTAATGTAATATATTACATAGTAATTATTATTATTATTATGTAATATTTTATATAGATAAATATATTAATATGTCACTTATATTAAAATGTAACATATTTCAAAATTGTAATTATAAAAGTAGACAGCTTTATATATAAAAAATTAAAATGTATATAATATTAAATAACATTTAATATTAAATATCTGTAAAATTGTCTTTTTATATACAGGACGTTTTCTTTTTTAAGACCTAATCAAATATATGCAAAACACTCTATATTCTAATTGTTTTAGATAAAGCTGCTTTCACAATGTATGACATATATAATAATGCATAATGAAATAATTAAAATAGTTAATACATATAGAAAATTATTAGTGCAAAGCATTATCTCTTATATATGCATAATGATGCATATATAATAATGCATAATGATACATTACAAATAGTTAAGCCATTGAAAACGATATCACGGTACTTGATTGCATCTAGACTGCACAATTACATATTTTGTATAAATACAGATTTCTGCAATATTGAATATTTTCCATTTAGAATCTCTAGATCAACATGTATATCTTAACAGTGATAATTATTCATATTATGGTTCTAATTCCAGCAATTCTTTTATTCTTTTGGCAGAGAATTCTACGCCCTCCATCGCTTCTTTTGAAACCTACAAACATCAAAATCAACGATTGATATGATGATAACATGATATCATGATTCATATAAAATAAATAAAAAGTTTTACATGTAGGAAATTGAAAAATCCATGTGGCAAATCTGGCAATATATCCAGTGTAACTTTGTTACCAAGCGAACGAAGTTTTCTCGCAAACATGACGCAATCATCGAGACAAGGATCAAACTCTACCGTCTAAAAGCAAATATTATGTAGATGTTGTAAAATATTTAATTTTAATAACGATTACAATACTATTTAATACTAATAAATACTAATATTTTATATTATCGAAAATTATAATAGAAGTTAAAATAAGTACCAATATTTTCATAGGCGGTAAATGAGCTAGCATATCATCTGATGCGAGAAAAGGACTTAAGAACAGATCTCTTGGTATTGTAAATTCCTCCCAAAGAGGCTTAGCATTCTTCATATCAAGTTGCCTGATATCTTTATTACTTCTTCCGAGGGACCAGCCGAACAAAGACCATGATTTGTCACTTTGTCCTGAAACATTACCATCTCTGCTGACACAGCCATTTTCCACAACAGGTGACGATACTGAAGCTGTGCCGGAATTTCTGTACATATTTAAAAATCTGCTGATATATTCTCGAGGCTCCACGTGCACTTTCGGACCTTCAATACCTATTGCATTAAAAGATCTTTTCAAAATGTGCACTCAAAAGAGAAGTAAATATACTTTAATGAATAAGATATAATACGAATATATATTATGAGGCCATAATTGCTGATTTGTATGTACCATCGACTTCTGTTAAGCTGACAGAATTTAACGTCGAATCAGATGGCAGAGATACTAATTTTTGCGCACCATTCGCGCCGTCTCCGTTTGGACTAAGAGCTAATGCTATAAGGTCACTTTCGCTCACTTCCGCAAAAGACTCTGTATCCGATTTAACGCATTCTTCAATCTCATGTTCCCTATATAATAAAATTCTATTTGTATATGGCATAAATTCTATTTGTATATGCATATATTATAATCATTTTCATCACATCTACAAGAAAATGTATATGTGATAAATGACAAAAGATACGATTAATTTTCGTTTAATATGCGTTATTTTTTTTTTTTTTTTTCAAAAATCTACTACAAAAAAATTTCTTTAAAATATATCTCTCATCACATATAAAAATACTTTGAGTAGAAAAAATATGTTGATTAGAAAAAAAAATTGTAATTTTAATTAAAATCTTACTTTGAAGATTTCTTATTATCAGATCCTACGTAAGCCTTCAAGCATCGTATCATAAAACCAAATGGTAATAGCGAGTCTGTAAGACAGAGCATGCGAGATGGTGATGGAATGATATCGAGGAATATTGGCGCATAAGCTATAAAAATACCATCTGGCCTTTTTATATTTAATTGTAGACACTTCAAAATGGCCCCCAAGTTTAAATTACCCCCTGCAGAATCACCTGTTAAAATATTAATTATGAATTTTCCAGTTTTACTGTATTGAATAATCAGATTGGCTATTATATATATAAATATATGAAAGATAGACTTTACTTTCACCTTACCGACAAATATCACTTTTTCCGCTGTACTTCCGAGCAATGTACTTGCATGCTTTAACGCCCATGCGTAAGCATACACCACTTCTTCAAGCGCGCGTGGATAAGGAGCTTCTGGAGCTAAACTGTAATCTATGCTTAAGATCGGTACTCCGAGCGTTGTAGCCCAATTATGTAGATACATTTCGTGCGATCGCGACGTTTGTGCCACAAATCCACCACCATGAGTATGAATAATCAGTCTGTCACATAGACCATGTAATTCTCCTCCTATACCCCCAGATCCGACCTTAATGATATATTGTATTAAAATTGTATTAAAATATTATTACTCGTTTAGTTAAATAATTTTAAATTTTTCTATTTTATAAATTCTATAATTTATATCCTCACTTAAATATGAATCGTATATTTTATTATATGTATATAAAATAATCAAATTATATATATTTTATTTACCATTCCTAGACGTCGTTTGGAACTCAATAATCTAACATGGATCGGTTTTTTCCCAATATGGCTATTTGGTATTGGAATTGAAACAATCCCACCATCCAAAGTAGGCAGAATTAATTCTTCAGGTGGAATAGATATGAGTTGATTGATGGCTAACGAGGGCTTCACTATAGAAAGTATTTCTAAAATACAGATATATGTAAGTTTTATTATTTAAATATGTAATATGTACAATTAAAAAATAGTTTAAATATCTAAATAGCATCTGTTATAAACAAATATTGTAAATAGTTCTTTCAAGGTGCAATTATAAATGATATAATTCTGCTAATTCCTTATTTCTTACCGAGTTCATTGAGGAACCAAAATGCTTGGGTAAAAGAAACATCAGCATATTGTGATATATTGACAATACGACGTGCTCTCGCTTCAGGATCCAAAAAATATTTGATGGAATTAGCGCATCGTCCTAGTATCGTATCATTATTATAATACATTTCACTATAAGAAACCATAGCAAATCCTATTGTTTTTAATACCTTTTTTAAACTATTGCCATACTGAAAAAGATAATACTTTAGATAAACTTGATCCAACAAATATTATATACTATTTACAAATACCTGAAATCCTACGCATCTACCATAGAAACAGTATTGATTAATATTTTCTGTCCAATGGAGAAATTCTTGAACGTTATGATCTAGTATGAACAGTGACAGTTTTCCATCGCTCATTACTTCTGTACTCCACGAGTATAATATTTTTAAATATTGCAAGAATGTCTGTAACGATACCAATAGCTGGGAGCATGCTTCTATTTCCCTGGGAATTAAACATATAATGCAAAATGTTATACATTAAATAAATGTACAATGTATTTCCATAGTATTATAATTACTTCATGTGATGGTTCTTTCGGGAAAACATGGAATCTTTCTGATGATACATCTGTCGACAGATCTGTTCGGAATGCACGATACATTTGTCAACCATCGAGAGAAAACTTCTGTATCCATTTCCCGGGGTCTCCTCATCAAAATCAAAGTGTGGCGCGAACTTGACTATCTCATTGTATAGTGGCTGTAATTCATCTAATTGATCCAGGATCAGCAGTAATGCCGCCTTAATCCTGACACTGCTTTCGTTTTGGTCGGACGCAAAATGCTCCACACTGGTACGACATAATTTTCGCAAAACACTCCATTGCAACGGTTCTGCATCTTCTTCTGGTTGGTCGAACGGTCTGTCAAAGTCATCGTTGGATGTTGACATCTGAACGATCCTAGCAGACATATAATACTGATGCAAAATTCTTTCTCTCTCTCTCTCTCTCTCTCTTTCTCCGTGCGTTTGATTTCTCTGATTAATTAACTTTAAAATAATTTAACGGCAAAACAAACTGTGTATCATTGTGCATTTTAGCTACTGATCGCCTGACTGACTGATTGAATTTTCAAACATACTAGTCAATATATCACAACAAGGTCAAGATAGCAAATGCCAAATTATATCAACGGGACATTTAATATATTCTCAATGAATGATTAATATATGGTTTCGATTAAGGCCAGGTTAATCTAACAGTAAGACGTATATCACATTACACTTTCAGCGTAGATCAAATATAAGTTTGCGAAGAACGATAATATTAATTAATTGCACAATTATCCCAGTATAATTCTGATGCAGTGCCTTACTTGTGACGCAAAAAAACTTCACTTGACACTTGACATTCGCCGAGCGATTCACGCTCGCGCTTAGACAGACGCGCTTCACGAGGTGAAATGAGAGCACGTTCCAGTTTCTGGGACAGTTGTCTGTTTATTTCTCTCTTTCCCTCCCTCTCTCTCTCACTCTCTTACGCTTTCATATTCTTTGCTTTTATCAAAAAGTTTTGATAAAATGGAATGAGTAATAGAATTCTCTATCGAGAGGAAGCTCATCGATGAAGATCAATATGTATATGTATATATATATATATACAAATAGCATGATTCATGCTATGTTGCGCAAGCTTCTTTGTTTTCTTTTTACATAAAATTGTTGGATTAAGAATTAACATATGTATAATCATTGCATGTATAATCATTGAAGATTTATATAGTTAAATATTTTTATACTAGATGCAATATATAAGGACAGTTTTAAATTTTTTATTGTTGATTTTATCGAATAATAATTGTAGATTTAATGAAAAACGATGAGTTAATATGATGCTAAAATATATTGAATAATATATTGAATAATTGTATAAGTAAAAGCTTCAAGATATGGTCGAGCAGCTCAATAGGATATCTACGAAAAAATTTTATGATAAATTTGGAATTAACTTTTTATTAACGCGAAGTTATATAAAAAATTTAGCAAGTTAACAACTTTTATTTTTTTATTTACAATATTCAGTATTTTTTGATATATTTGTTGATTAAACATTCTTAAGTATTGATTTTTAAACATTCTTAAGAAAGACACTTAAGATTTCATAAGTAACGATAATGAGTATATATATATTAAGTATTAATGAGACAAGAGCTTCAAGGATAAAATGCATCAATAATTAAAATTTATATAATTAACATTTTTTCTACTGTACATTATCAAATTATAATCGTATAAAATTTCTATTTTTTAATTATGAAATTTCTATTTTCTAATTATGATATATCCAATTTCCGCTCAATTATAGTCTTACTTATGGCATAAATTTAAAAAATTTATATAAATAATGAGAGATCTAATAATAGTACGAATGATAGATCATCGACAGAAAAAACTAAACTATCAAAAATTCACTAAAATTATTACCTGGATTAAGGAAAAATGATATGTTCACAAAGAAGCGATGATACATCAATCGATGAATGTTTCACTGCTCAACGACACTACGTCAATAACGATGATGGTTTTGTCGCGAGACTTTTGTACCCATTTATCATCGCTCTCGAATTAAAAATAATATCATTACAATTTGTATATATATATATATATAATTTACTAATAAAATCGCGATGACGAAAAGAACGACCTGGAAGTTGCAAGAAAAAAATTTAATTGAACGTTAATTGGCCGTATTTCGAAATTAAAATAGATTGATAAAAGCAACACGCATATACGATAAGCTGATGCTGATGCAGCACTATCACTATATGAGATAGTTGATTTATCATTATTTTACTGTAGATATAACGCATATGTATTTTTTGTTATTCCTGATGTGCATCAAGTTTTAATTGGATTCAGACTATATACTGTACTTTGATTCTTAATCAAATCACTTGTGCACGCAATAATGGACTTTTGTCTCAACTGACATGCATTCTGATTCAAAACTGTCAATGACTTTGAGAACGTTGTGATGAAATAATTGCAAACTATAAATTGTACATAATATAAAATTGCATACTATAAATTGTATATATTAATACAATAATATATATATTTTAATGCAATAATATATCGTATGTAACATTAATATTATATCCAAAAATATATAAATATTTTATTATGCCAATATTTTATTTTGCAGAAAATTGTTATTAATAGGCATTATTTTAACATTTAATTCATTTTTTTGTTTCAATCAAAAACACGCAAAATTGCAACGAGATAAGTGTAATGAAACGCGCGGTTCAAGATTCTTTATAATTTATTTTTATTGATAAGTAAAATTACATTTATCCACAAACACAATACGTTCTTTTCAATGGGGTGTAATAATGCGTTAAAACTTGTGAGCGGCGAGGAGAAACATCTGCGAAGGAGAAAGAGGGACGAGGAGAATTTGTTTCCTTAGTCTTTCGACACTGGCTCTTATATTTTTCGTGAACAACGGCGAATCATAGCATTTTCTTTCAATCGCAATTATTAGTAAAATAAAAGACAAGAATATTGAGGGTTTCAAATAATTACGGAATTCATAAGTTATATACTTTAAGTATATGAAAAGAAAATCATATCTGAAATAAAATTTCTCACAAATCATATGGAATCGCCTCACATTAAGCCCTTTAATCCCTACGTATAACGTATGGGTTTATTATCCCATATATTTAAAAAAAATGTATAAAGCCGTTCTTTGTGCGCAGAGTTCTCCATATAATTATGTGATTAAAATTCCAACAATACAAGACATAGATATCTCATGGAATGATTGTTTATAGCAGTCTCACTTTATAATTGCCACAATTAATTCATTTGCATCCGTATTTCCGCTATAAAGATTGCCATTGTTCACAGAAGAGAAAAGCAAAATCTCTCACGTGCTTAATATAATAGTATTTTTCAGAATTTCAATTTTCATTGTTATGAGAGAAACATATTTTAAGAGTAATTGGGATTATCTTTGCGTCACACATAGATAGATTTCCACATTTGCATTATATTTATATGTAAATAATACGACGCATATTATTAAGCCTTTCACATACAAGATGAAACGTCGATTCGAATGTCACAATAATTTTGCAACAGGTTTTGTTTTGCGTCAAATTATTTTTTACAACGCGCGGAAGCAAAATTGATTTTCAAATAATTATTCGAACGTCGAATAAATCGAACGAAAAATCAAGGAAAAAGATATTTTCGAAATCGAAAATGGCAGCGTGTGGCTACGTAATTCGCGCTGCTCGTTAATTATCAAAATACGATAGAATAACGGCGGGGAGATACCGAAAAAAATATAAAAATAAAGTCTAGTGTGTTTTATAGTCTCATTATTATACTCTTTCTCCGTCTCTGGACTTGCTAATCTCTGGACTGCGGCTTGAAGGACGTATATTTCTTTTTTTCTTCTTCTTCTTCTCCTTTTCCTCACATCTCACATGGCTTTTAAGCTAAGTTCAGTTACCTCGATATAATATATATATATAATATATATATACTTATTACCTCTTTACAAAAATCAATTCTTAAACTTATATATACGGAGGTGGCCCGATGCAAATTCACAGTATCTTGAAGCGCACACTTTTCTTTCTCCATCTTTCTCTTTTCTTTTTTTCCTTTCCTTTTCCGCCACAACCGAATCACCGAAACCATGATATGCTCCGACTACTGGCTAATACTGATACCACCCCGACGTCTTCTACAAAAGTCATCGGAGAGAACATTGGACCGTTGTTGCCTGCGTATGGCGTAATATCCTCGTATCGGCGAGTCTCGAGATTTACATATTTATATACGCGAGATACAATGTGCCAAATCTTGCTGCTTGCTTTGCGCTCAATCGCGTTGAATTTGACGAACGATATATGTATACGCGATCAAATCAGTCCTGATACCGGCCAATCGCAAACTATCTTTCCGTGCGAGAGCAGAGGCTCCCAGCATCGTGAGATTCTTAGAAAAATAATAAGTACATACAATCGTTTTTTTTTTTTTTAAGGAAGGTCTTCAGCATCTGTGAATCCGTATCAAGGTCAGGTTCTTCTATATGCGATGTTATCAATGTGTTGTTTAACGACTATATACGCTATAGGTACATAATATTTAATTTAATATGTATACATGTATATGCATGTGTATATTTTCATATATATATTTGTATATATATATATATATATATCTATATATTATTCATACGTCGCACACACACACACATATACATATATAATCGATATTTCATATCATTATTGTTAACGCATTGATGCTATCTGTTGTTATTCATATAGTCATAATACATTCACTGGTATAATTGCTATCGTCTTATGATATATCTAAAATAATATTTTTAACATTCAGCGATGTGTGTTGTTTATGTGTGTGTCTGTGTCTAGCATCTGTCGATTATACACACTCTTTTCCACCGGAGTTGCGTGAAGACAAACGATCGCTGTGTGTGCACGTGATTCGCGTTAGATAGATAGGAGAAAGGCAGCTGCTTCACAAGTGCGCTTAGGAATATAATATCTAAAGGATTTCTTTTTTTCTTTTTAATCGCTCTTTGATCGCGGGCGATTATCGTGTGTGTCATGCGACACAATTGTAGCAAAGTGAGCGCAATTGAAGGGGAGGGCCACCTTAGCACGTAATCGGGAATGTATGCACTTATGCGTGGACATTCGTGCAGGGCGTTTCACATAAGAATACAGAACGCGACTTTTAATTGCTATTTATCATCATAATAATAACTATCGCACTCCGCCGAGCTGAATCCGTTCCTTATTTTTTAGATATATCGAGATTCGTCGGGTCGACCGACCCGAATGCCTCAAGGTACGATACGGTACATTAAACGATAACGATGCTTACGCTCTTATCGTGCCTCCGCCATAGGATTAGACGTCCTAAAGACGAAAAAGAAAAAGAAAACATTCTAATCTCTGAGACGTTTAAAAATACATTGCAATCTTTCATAGACGACGTAGAGATATCTTCATCTCTCAGACATCGTAAAAACGTCGTGACTTTTTATGTGTGTATTTTTTTTTAGATGTCTTTAAGACTTCTGTGGTGTGTGTGATTATATATTACCACATTACCACAACCACTAATGGACGGTAATGGCTCTGTAGATTGTGGCAGCGCGTTTGCATGCGCCGGCGTTGAATGTACCGCTTCGCAATCGCAAGCTCCTTTCCTATCAAATAAGTTCGACGAAAGCGCGTAACGTGATTTCGAATTAAAAAAAAAAAATAATCAAGAACCGTGTGTGTTTTCTTTTCCCCACGCGACCCTGGCGCTAAAGTGCGGGCTACTACCTTTTTTTCGTTTGACCATATACAAATATATAAGCATTAAACGTGTAATATATATTATATCATCATCGTCGTCGTCGTATATAATTAGTAATATATCCTAAGATAGTTATTGTATGAACGATCTTTTTTTCCCTTTTTTTAATCCCGAGAACG